GTGGCATGTGTACTGCTTCCTGTGTGTCTCGTGCCAACAGCCAATCAGAAACAACACCTTCCACCTGGAGGACGGAGAACCGTACTGCGAGAGAGGCACATTTATTATGGATATTAATTTAATCAGATCTTTAACACAAATTTGATTATAATTTTTAGAAAAATATACTTAATATGACTTTTATACGTTTTTTTGCGAATATTAATTTCATTAGAACCTGTTTCTGGATTGTAACAATGCCTCTGTTCTAATATAAACACACTCCTTCCCTTCCTCAGATTATAATGGTCTGTTTGGAGCTGGTTGCCATGGCTGCGATTTCCCCATAGAGGTGGGCGATAAGTTTGTGGAGGCTCTGGGCTTCACCTGGCATGATACCTGCTTCGTGTGTGCAGTAAGTCGTGGAGAAGGATCAGGTTTTCTTTAGTAGAATTACAGTGTGCGCTGTATTCAGACTCTCTGAGGGATGTAGAATTCCTCTTACTTCACTGTTACATTTTGAATGGGAACAAAAACTGTCCAATCAGGATTGTTCTCTCTGAGATACGTAGGCAGTCCTATTGGTTAGGACTTCTGTTTAATCTAGATGAGCCAAAAAAGTGGACCAGTGTTAGCTTAGTGCTAACATACCATTAGAAATCCCATAGGGGTGCCACAGTAACGGTAATGTAAAGGTGTTTAGCAAAACTCTTTAGCATCAGAATAACACGTTAACAAGTCATTTATCTAAGCGATACTGATGAATGAGAAAAATAAGAGATCTAATTAACAGAAACCAATGAGCCACTAAGACTTCTGACAAACACCTGACACTTAACTTTCTGGGTTCCCTGAACTCGCCTGCGATGTTTCTATATCTGTGTCTGTATCTTTGTGAAGATCCAGCTCAGAAATCCGGTTCAGACACTTCCTGAATCTGTAGAGTCGCCCTTTCCATTCCATCTTATCACGAGATCATATGAGACTCACATCCGGAGTTATGAGCCTATGAAGAGGGGCTGAGACACACCATTCTGTGTGAAACTGACCAATGGACACTCAGGAAATCACTAAGGACTGACCATCACGCCGGAAACCCTTCATTCTTCATTCAGTCCACATCGGAGACTCATGAGAAACTGTGTGCAGAGAGTTTACAGCTGCTGAAGCTGCTGCAGCGGTTTTGGAAAGTAGTGATGAAGATAACGGAGCATTTAGATATGAAACATATGGGGATCATGTTATATGAAGAGACTTTAAAGGAGAGTTCAAGAATATGTGGACCAAATCTTTTATGAGTTAATAGACGTTTTCATATTTTGATATTTTATGTGTGACTGTGTTGTGTGTTTCAGGTGTGCTGCACCAGCCTGGAGGGTCAAACCTTCTTCAGTAAAAAAGACAAACCGCTCTGCAGGAAACACGCCAGCACACCCCAGCCTTAACAGAGAACAGGACACTTACTCTCTATCACATACCTCTACACCACATTTCAGCCTGTATACAGCTAATCTCACACTCCAGGCTCCGCCCACTAATGGAGTCTTTCATAGATGCTGTTTGATGAGCCTCATAAACATCTCACTCAGCCTAATGAGAAACTGTAGAACAGACTCAGTTTATATCACAATACCTACATTTAGAGTCAGTTATTCATTCAGCCTAATGAGAAACTGTAGAACTGACTCAGTTTATATCACAATACCTACATTTAGAGTCAGTTATTCATTCAGCCTAATGAGAAACTGTAGAACAGACTCAGTTTATATCACAATACCTACATTTAGAGTCAGTTATTCATTCAGCCTAATGAGAAACTGTAGAACAGACTCAGTTTATATCACAATACCTACATTTAGAGTCAGTTATTCATTCATTCAGCCTAATGAGAAACAGTAGAACAGACTCAGTTTATATCACAATACCTACATTTAGTCGGTTATTCATTCAGCCTAATGAGAAACTGAAGAACAGACTCAGTTTATATCACAATACCTACATTTAGAGTCAGTTATTCATTCAGCCTAATGAGAAACCGTAGAACAGACTCAGTTTATATCACAATACCTACATTTAGAGTCCGTAAATGGTCCTTTGCATGGTGAAATGGTTCTTCAGATTGATGGAGAATGTGTTGTGTATGGTTCTATATAGAACTCATGGTTCTAAATAGAACCATTCCCTTTACTAAAGAACCATCTTTTTAAAGTATTTATAGTACAGTATATCTAGTGCAGATAGCCAAACTAGAGCTAAGAAATATGTAATAACCTTTTTATATCTGATAGTGTTCTTCGTTTCTTAAATGTGTCTGAGTTTGTGTGTATGTGTAGAATGTAGTGTAATAAAGCTGGATGGCAGTTTGTGTGGATTATAACTGTTTAATAAGACTGTTAATAAACTCTATAAAGAGAACGAGAGAGTTCTCGGTGCGTCACGAGTCTGAAAAGATGGAAAACATTCTCTTTCCTTCCAGTTCTCTCACTGTGTGTCTTCTCTTTCTCTCGGGTGAGTGTCTTTCTCTCTCTCTGTCTCTCTCTCTCTCTCTGGACTGTAACGGCAGTAACTCTCTCGCCCTGTAGAGGTCGCGACCTGTGCCGCTGGACTGAGCCACACATTCACGCCGCTCACAAAGAGCGCTTTATCTCTCTGCTCTGCACTCCATCCTCTCTTTCTCTCCCTCTTTCTCCTCTCCCCTTTCCCTCGGCACCGTCCAGGCCGGCCGTGCAGGCCAGATGGCTCTACCTGTGCAGGTGTGCGCTGGGGGGCTTGAGCCGCTGTGGAATTCTCCTCTTATTCACCCACTGAAATATAAACCAGCAGCAGTTTCTACATCATCTCTCAGTGTTAAAGTAAAGTCATAGTAATTATGTGCTGCTCACAGCTTAGTGAAATAAAAGCTTCTATCTGCAGCCTTATTGCTGTTAGTCTGCCAGCGGAGGGCGCTGCAGAGCAACAGCATTACTCTTCCTAATATATTTAAACAAGGATTGGCTCATGGTGTCCCACCCATTGATGGACTGCTTGTGGATGTAAACCATTAGCCAATCCCAGCGCAGGGAGTGGGATCCTGCAGGCCAATCCTGGCTCAGTGGGTGGGGTTTGTCAGATTGTGGGGCTGAATATAAAGGTGTTGACGACAGAGGTGTGTTGGTGATGCTGCTGCACGGAAACAAGCAGACTTACTTCAACACTGAGGAGAGTGGACGACAAAGGGGCAATTAAAGAGGGGTAAGATGGGGCAAGAGAGTGGGGACGGGGTACTTACCTATATTAATGATGGAGTATTAGAGTATATGAGGAAATGGTGATGGAATAATCGGTTATTAGACGTAAGTTAATCTCTAATGGGGTAATTATTATCAGATAATAGTGATATTAGTGAGGTGGTAACAGTGATGAGCTATTAATTATGGTGTTACAGTAAACTAATTAATTATGAGGTAACAGTGATGGGGTATTATTAATGAATTAAAAGTGATCAGGTAGTAGTGATGGGGCAATAGTATGGGGCAACAGTGAAGGGGTATTGTGAGGAAGTAATACTGATGGGATAATAGTTATGGATGTTGGTGAGGGAGTTTTAGTGAATAAATATTAGTGATGAATTAAAAGTGATGGTGTAATAGTGTGGGGTAATTGTGAGAAGGTAATAGTGACATGGTGATTGTGATGGTGTAATATTGTGGGGGTAATCATGAGAAGATAATAGTGACATGTTGTTTGTGATGGTGTAATATTGTGGGGGTAATCATGAGAAGAAAATAGTGACATGTTGTTTGTGATGGTGTAATAGTGATGGTGTAATAGTGAGGGGGTAATCATGAGAAGATAATAGTGACAGGGTATTTATGATAGTGTAATAGTGTAGGGGTAATCGTGAGAAAATAATAGTAACATGGTGTTTGTGATGGTGTAGTAGTGTGAGGGTAATAGTGAGAAGATAATAGTGACATGGTATATGTGATGGTGTAATAGTGTGGTGTAATCATGAGAAGATAATTGTGACGTGGTGTTTGTGATGGTGCAATAGGCATAACAGGGTTTTAGTTGTGGAGTAATAGAAAGAGAATATAAGTGATTTGGTAATAGTGATGGGGTTATAGTGGAGAAGTATTACTGAGTGAATAATAGTGATTGAGTGTGAGTTATGCAGTAACAGTGATGGGATAAATGTAAAGGGGTATTAGTGAGGGGTAATTGTAAAGATTTAGTTTAGTGATGGGACTTTAGTGAGGGGTAAGGTAATAGTAATGGAGTGTAAATAGGATGGTAATAGTGATGGAGTATTTGCAGGATGGTAACAGTGGTGGGGTAATAGTGAGGTTTTAGTGAGGGGTTAGTAAGGATGGGGTAATGGTGATGGTGTAGTAATGATGAGGTAATAGTGATCAGGGATTCGTGAGGAGATAATGGAGTAATAGTGAGTAGGAATTAATGATGGGGTAATAGTGAGTAGGTAACTGTGATGGTGTGGTAGTGATGAGGTTATAATGATCAGGTGTTCGTGAAGAGATAATGGAGTAATACTGAGCTGGAATTAGTGATGAAGTAATAGTGATCAGGTATTCGTGAAGAGATAATTGAGTAATAGTGAGTAGGAATTAATGATGGGGTAATAGTGAGTAGGTAACTGTGATGGTGTGGTAGTGATGAGGTAATAATGATCAGGTATTCGTGAAGAGATAATGGAGTAGTAGTGAGTGGGAATTAGTGATGAGGTTATAATGATCAGGTGTTCGTGAAGAGATAATTGAGTAATAGTGAATAGGAATTAGAGATGGGGTAATAGTGAGTAGGTAACTGTGATGGTGTGGTAGTGATGAGGTTATAATGATCAGGTGTTCGTGAAGAGATAATGGAGTAGTAGTGAGTGGGAGTTAGTGATGGGGTTATAGAGAGGAGGTACTGGTGAAGGGGTAATAGTGATAGTTTTTGTGCAGTTACTGTATTCTGTTGGGGTTAACGTGTGTATGTGTATTGTGGGCATTTAGCAGTTTGTGTTATTGTTAGTATGTGTTTATGTGTGCTGGTGTCAAAAGTGTGACAATAAGTATCCAATGTGGACTGGAAAGTCCCCGGCTGTGGAGCGATCACGCCGCGCTGGACTGAAGGAAGTGTTTATTATTTACATGTTTACTTTCTCCACTCATATAACTCAAAATCAGGTCTCTCGCTAACATCAGTTTCACGCTTGAGATGTCTAAACTCCATTCCTGTGTGTGATGTTAATTTTGCCCTTTGAAGCGAAGCCCCTGTTCACACCCAGACAAAAAGCTCCAGTGCAGTGTCTGCTGCTGCAGGTGTTGGCTGCGTCCCGGCCCGGCTCTCTGAGGGGAACGCTATCTGATCAGACTGCAGGGTCTGTGTCGTCGCTGCTGTCCCCCGAGGCTCTCTGTGCCACAGGAAACAACACATCATTGACTGCATCACACCTGATAAACAGCAGGTGAGTGTCAGGTGTGTGAACGACTCAGCAGTCAGGTAGAAGCTGGTGGAGTTTGGCCTGTATTAAAGTAGTTAAACCTCAGTTTCACAGATTCAACATGGTCAAATGTTTTCTGATCAATTACAATACAATGTTCATTTACAAAATCTGCATTAAACATTTACTGCAACTGTTGTGTTTATACACTCAACACTAGCAGCAATAACAACTGCACAGAGATGAAGTTCATCTAAACGATTTCCGCACGTTTGCAGGTTAAACTTTAACCGAATCAACACATCAGATTCTAGTTTGACTGCACAGGATTTTACCATACAGAGCAGTTCCTGTTCAGATCTGATCAACTTTCTAAGAGATAAGAGCAGCTGAAAGTATTTCTGACCTTTATTGTTTATTAGAAACAACAAAGAACATTTCTCTGGTCTGAATGTTACTTCAACAGACTCTCGTGTTGGCATGACGAGTCTCCCTCTGTACCTAATGCTACACTGTAGCTCCAGTTTGAGCTGTATTGTTAGCTCTAGTGTACTTTGGTGTAGCTTGTGCTGCTCTAGTGTAGCTCTAATTTTGCTTTGGTGTAGCTTTAGTGTTGCTCTAGTGTTGCTATAGTGTTACTCAAGCTTTAATATAGCGCTAGTGTAGTTCTAGTGTTGCTCTAATGTAGCTTTAGTGTTGCTCTAGTGTACGTCTAGTGTAGTTCTAATGTAGGTCTAGTGTTGCTCTAGTGTAGCTGTAGTGCAGTTCTAGTGTTGCTCTAGTGTAGTTCCAGTGTAGCTCTTGTTGCTGTAGTGTTGCTCTAGTGTATCTATAGTGCTGCTCTAGTGTAGCTATAGTGTTGCTCTAGTGTAGCTTTAGTGTTGCTCTCATGTAGTTATAATGTAGCTCTAGTGTTGCTCTAGTATAGGTCTAGTGTTGCTCTAGTGTAGCTGTAGTGCAGTTCTAGTGTTGCTCTAGTGTAGCTCTAGTGTAGTTCCAGTGTAGCTCTTGTTGCTGTAGTGTTGCTCTAGTGTATCTATAGTGCTGCTCTAGTGTATCTATAGTGCTGCTCTAGTGTAGCTATAGTGTTGCTCTAGTGTAGCTTTAGTGTAGCTGTAGTGCAGCTCTAATGTTGCTTTAGTGTATCTATAGTGCTGCTCTAGTGTAGCTCCAATGTTGCTCTAGTGTGGCTCTTGTTGCTATAGTGTCGCTCTACTGTAGTTTTAGTGTACTTTAAGTGTACTTAGTTTGGTGAATAGGAACACTGTCATGGTTGGAAGAGAAAGGCAGTTGAAATTCAAGGAGCCCTCACACACACTCACATCCTCTCCCTCTCTCTCTCTATCTGTGTGTGTGTGTGTGAGTGTGTGTGTGTTAGTGTGTGTGAGTGTGTGTTAGTGTGTGTTAGTGTGTGTGTGTGTGTGTGTGTGTGTGTTAGTGTGTGTTAGTGTGTGTGTGTGTGTGTGTGTGTGTTAGTGTGTGTGTGTGTGTGTGTGTGTGTGTGTGTTAGTGTGTGTGTGTGTGTGTGTGTGTTAGTGTGTGTGTGTGTGTGTGTGTGTGTGTGTGTGTGTGTTTGTGTGTGTGTGTGTGTGTGTTAGTGTGTGTGTGTGTGTGTGTGTGTGTGTGTGTGTGTGTGTTAGTGTGTGTGTGTGTGTTAGTGTGTGTGTGTGTGTGTGTGTGTGTGTGTGTGTGTGTGTTAGTGTGTGTGTGTGTGTGTGTGTGTGTGTGTGTTAGTGTGTGTGTGTGTGTGTGTGTGTGTGTGTGTGTGTGTGTTAGTGTGTGTGTGTGTGTGTGTGTGTGTGTGTGTGTGTGTTAGTGTGTGTGTGTGTGTGTGTGTGTGTTAGTGTGTGTGTGTGTGTGTGTGTGTGTGTGTTAGTGTGTGTGTGTGTGTGTGTGTGTGTTAGTGTGTGTGAGTGTGTGTGTGTGAGTGTGTGTGTGTGTGAGTGTGTGTGTGTGTTAGTGTGTGTGTGTGTGTGTGTTAGTGTGTGTGTGTGTGTGTGTGTGTGTGTGTGTGTGTGTTAGTGTGTGTGTTAGTGTGTGTGTGTGTTAGTGTGTGTGAGTGTGTGTGTGTGTGAGTGTGTGTGTGTGTTAGTGTGTGTGTGTGTGTGTGTGTGTGTGTGTGTGTGTGTGTGTGTGTGTGTGTGTGTCTGACCAGGTGATTATAGCTTTATAACTACAAACTGCAGGAAAAGGCTGATTATTAATGTAATACACAGGTTAGTTGAGTTAATAATGCTGTGTCTGCTCAGTGTGATATAATTATATCTGAAATGAACTGTAGGGTGTGTGTGTGTGTGTGTGTGTGTGTGTTAGTGAGTGTGTGTGTGAGTGTGTGTGTGTGTGTGTGTGTGTGTGTGTGTGTGTGTGTCTGACCAGGTGATTATAGCTTTATAACTACAAACTGCAGGAAAAGGCTGATTATTAATGTAATACACAGGTTAGTTGAGTTAATAATGCTGTGTCTGCTCAGTGTGATATAATTATATCTGAAATGAACTGTAGGGTGTGTGTGTGTGTGTGTGTGTGTGTGTTAGTGAGTGTGTGTGTGTGTGTGTGTGTGTGTGTGACTCACACTGCTGCCTCGCCCTGTGATAACAGCACACTTCTCTAATCAGCTTATCTCACACTCAGATGATTGATGTTGAGGTGATTAGACGTTAATCTGATTACGCTGTTCAGAAACACCCAGAGTAACGACTCCAGCTCACAGTCTGCTGAGATACGAGCTGATCAGAGCCTCACAGCACTCACTGCACACCGAGCTACCGCACTCAGAGCCCAGGTTTATATAGAACCAGGAACACCCAAAGAACCTTTTGCATCCTTAAAGTTTCTCTGCATGGTGTTGTGTTGTGTTGTGTTGTGTTGTGTCTGGTTCTATACAGCACCAAAAAGGGTTCTTCTATTGATATACGCTTGACATAATCACAACAGCTGGACTCGTTTTGGTGCTATATGGAACCCTTCTCAAAAAAGGTTCTGTAGAACTAGATACAACATTGTATTTAAGCATGCAAAGGGTTTTTTGAGTGTTCATGGCTTTGTATAGAACCACTTTACTAAAGAACCCTTGAAGAACCATCTTTTTAAAGAGTGTAGCACTTTCAGTGGTGGAATAGAACCAAGCTACTGAGGGACTTTACCTTTAAAACAGCATCTGAACTTCAATTGTTTAATTAACTTAAAATTGTAAAACAGCCTGAGTGATGAGAGGAAAACAGACAGTCATGCTCTCCTGGACGCCTCCTGGCTGTCACTGGTCAGGACTTCAGAAGCTGGACTGAAGGCCTTATACGTTAGATTAACTACCAGCATAATTAGGAAGTGACCGAGGAACCAACCATTCATGCTCTGGTTTATAATGGGGTGGTGAGAAAAAATGCCAATCTAGTTCTTCTGGAGGTTCTAGATACGACACTGACTGTGAATATGAGCTGTAGTCTAAGCAGTGTTCCGGTTAACTGTTAGGAATGGAAAACAGCGGCAGCTCTATGCAGGACTGTTTACTGAAAGAGTAAACAAGCTCATATTTATGTTTTTGTTGTTTTTTACTTTTTTAAAAATGTGAAAACTTTTGTTACCCTTTGCATGTAAAATTTAATGATGAACGCACCAAAATTACTTGTAAAAAAAAAAAAAGTTTCATAAACATTAATAACATTTTTTACTTCTTTTGTAAAATTACCGTTTTGGAGACTGTTTTGTTCCAACAGTGACATTAATGTTAATGTCTGTTGAAATAAATCATATCACTGCTGTGAAAACAAAGCCTTGTATCTCCATTTTTGTCATTTCTCAGTTTTTGACATTGTTTGAAAATAGCTGTTGCCCTTCTATGTGTGCAAATTTCATGATAAGTGACCAAACCAACGGCCCAAAAACGACTGAAAAATTCTGGTTCCATTGACTTGCATTAAAAGTAAAGTATGTTTCTTCCTTCTCCTGTAAAGTTACCATTTTGGAGATGCTGTTCCGACGGCAGCGATAGGGAATTTTTTATGTCTGTGTTTAATCTCGAGTGGCCAAAAACTGTACGTGTGCACCAGCGTTAGCCTAGCGATAGCATACTATTAGAAATCGGACAGTAATTAGCATCATTGTAGAAGTGTTTGTCTATTTTTAAGTGTGTTTTGACTTTGATGGCCCGGACTGAAGAGCTCTGATGGTCAGATACTGATCTCCACTTTAGATGACTGTATCTGCAGGGCTTTAGCTGAACTGACAGCACTAATAACTCACATTCCAGCCTGCAGGGCTGATGGTATCGTACAGGACAGGTGAGATTGATATCTAGAGGAAATTGAGCCATTGAAAGCCCAGCAGCAGTGGATGAGTTATGGGGAGGCGAGAGACAGAAGGCTTCAGGCTGTGGAGTGAAGATCTGTAGAAGCCTCAGAGAGCAACGTTCTGTCGTCCGTCTGTTGGTTTTGTGTTTTGATCAGAGTGTTTCTGTATTTTGAGGAGCGTTTGGTCTCAGCAGTGCTGTGTGGATCTGATACGAGTCCTGAAGTCTGATAAACCCTGAGAGAACCGGCGACTGGAGCGTAACAGGATGGACTGAGGAGATCAGGTGATCAACACTTTTCACAACCCGATATCTAATCAGTAGCGGTGAAGATCGTTTATTTCATTTCCAGCCATGAAGCAGAACTTATTCATTTTTCAGTGTCAGAAAAAACTGAAAACACATATTTAATAGAAAATTACCCAGAAGCCTCGACTTTCAGTTCCTCAAAGAATCTGCAGACACACCTCCAAAGTTCAGTCTTAGAAGCTGGTTGATCATTTTCTGAAGTAATCAAACCCATTCAGTGGTGTTGAGGTCTGGACTCTGGGGTGGTCAGTCCACTGTTCTGGGAACAGCAGCAGCTACTCTGATGTTTTAGCACTGGAGCTACGATGCTAATGTTGCTAACAAGTAACAACGTAAAGGTGCACAGACACCAGAGTGTCTGTCTGAGATGACTTTACAGCCTGACGAGGCAGGTCAGCTGTGGTTAGCAGTAGCTGTGAGCTGTAAAGAGCCTCATAAAGAGAGTCATAAAGTAATAAAGCTGTAATAGAACACAAACAGTCATAAAGACTTCAGCTAACAGTGCTGTGGGATTAAAAACAGTTCTTTTAACAGAATCAATGTAGCGGCTACATCACACTGTAGCTGCGAGCTAGCACACAGTGTACGCTAATGATAGATACATACAGACAGCACACAGACACATACAGACAGCACACAGACACATACAGACACATACAGACAGCACACAGACACATACAGACAGCACACAGACACATACAGACAACACACAGACACATACAGACACATACAGACAGCACACAGACACATACAGACAGCACACAGACACATACAGACACATACAGACAGCACACAGACACATACAGACAGCACACAGACACATACAGACAACACACAGACACATACAGACAGCACACAGACACATACAGACAGCACACAGACACATACAGACACATACAGACAACACAGACACATACAGACACATACAGACAGCACAGACACATACAGACAGCACACAGACACATACAGACAGCACACAGACACATACAGACACATACAGACAACACACAGACACATACAGACACATACAGACAACACACAGACACATACAGACAACACACAGACATATACAGACAACAAACAGACACATACAGACAACACACAGACACATACAGACAACACAGACACATACAGACAGCACACAGACACAAACAGACAGCACACAGACACATACAGACAGCAAACAGACACATACAGACAACAAACAGACACATACAGACAACACACAGACACATACAGACAACAAACAGACACATACAGACAACAAACAGACACATACAGACAACACACAGACACATACAGACAACAAACAGACACATACAGACAACACACAGACACATACAGACAACACACAGACACATACAGACAACACACAGACACATACAGACACATACAGACAGCACACAGACACATACAGACAGCACACAGACACATACAGACAGCACACAGACACATACAGACAACAAACAGACACATACAGACAACAAACAGACACATACAGACAACACACAGACACATACAGACAGCACACAGACACATACAGACAGCACACAGACACATACAGACAACACACAGACACATACAGACAACAAACAGACACATACAGACAACACACAGACACATACAGACAACAAACAGACACATACAGACAACAAACAGACACATACAGACAACACACAGACACATACAGACAACAAACAGACACATACAGACAGCACACAGACACATACAGACAGCACACAGACACAAACAGACACATACAGACAGCACACAGACACATACAGACAGCACACAGACACAAACAGGCAGCACACAGACACATACAGACAGCACACAGACACATACAGACAGCACACAGACACAAACAGACACATACAGACAGCACACAGACACATACAGACAGCACACAGACACATACAGACAGCACACAGACACAAACAGACACATACAGACAGCACACAGACACATACAGACAGCACACAGACACAAACAGACACAAACAGACACATACAGACAACAAACAGACACATACAGACAACACACAGACACATACAGACAACACACAGACACATACAGACACATACAGACAACAAACAGACACATACAGACAACAAACAGACACATACAGACAACAAACAGACACATACAGACAGCACACAGACACATACAGACAGCACACAGACACAAACAGACAGCACACAGACACATACAGACAGCACACAGACACAAACAGACACATACAGACAGCACACAGACACATACAGACAGCACACAGACACAAACAGGCAGCACACAGACACATACAGACAGCACACAGACACATACAGACAGCACACAGACACAAACAGACACATACAGACAGCACACAGACACATACAGACAGCACACAGACACATACAGACAGCACACAGACACAAACAGACACATACAGACAGCACACAGACACATACAGACAGCACACAGACACAAACAGACACAAACAGACACATACAGACACATACAGACAGCACACAGACACAAACAGACACATACAGACAGCACACAGACACAAACAGACACATACAGACACATACAGACAGCACACAGACACTATGAGTGAATATATTAGTCTGTAAGTTTAAAACGTGAAGCTCATTCCTCAGTAAACGGACTTATTTTAAGTGCTACATTAACTAGCAGTGATAAAACAGCCTCTTGACTGCTGTTTTGTTTTCTGGACTGATGATGAAAAAGCTGAAAAATGCCGAAAAATACAGATTACAGACAACAATTGTTGCTTAATTTACATTTAGTCAAAGAAAATACAGAATTCTAACCCAATAAAGCTTTAAAATGACATTTATTTTTTAACGACAGCATCCAGTAAGTGAGCTAGCTTTAGGCTATCAGGACTCTTCCACAGCATTAACTCTGAGTAAAACGATAGCAGCTAAGCTATATGAGCTACTGACTTAGCCTGACTGCTGCTGGAGATTCAGGATAGCTCTACTGTTTAATTGTTGAAGATACGTGAGAAGAGTTGGATGGTACGAAAGCTAACATGACAGCGCAGTGAGAGGCAGCGATATGAGTGAAAACAGACTAGCCACCTTAGCATTAGTGCTAATTCCACTGAGCACGCTGCTCGTCTCAGAATCTGGCATTAAATATACACAAACTCGTAATCAGGCAACATGGCAAACAGTTACAGCTGTTCTAAATAGTGTTTGAATAGCTTTAATGTATTTTACCATCGTACAGCGTACCGAATGTAGTGTAGCTCACCTGAAAAACAGATTAGCCATGTAGCATTAGTGCTAACTCATTCCACTCTGCTCGTCTTGGAATCTGGCATTAAACATAATTAATTAGGCAACATAGCAAACAATTACAGATATTATTAATAGTTTTTAGTAGTTTTAATGTATTTTACCATCGTACAGCATACTGAATGTAGTTTAGCTCACATGAAAAACAGATTAGCCGCCTTAGCATTATCGCTAACTTATTCCACTTAGCACTCTGGAATCTAGTCTGCCTCATGAAACACACAGGCACTTATAGTAAGGCAACTTACATATAAGAACAGATATACTTATATAGTTTTTGAATAGTTTGAATAGATTTTACTGTCATACAGCAAACTGTATATAGTGTAGCTCACACTGAATATAGTGTAGCTCACACTGTATATAGTGTAGCTCACACAGTGTATAGTGTAGCTCACACTGTATATGGTGTAGCTCACACTGTATATAGTGTAGCTCACACAGTGAAGACCAGAGCATCATTGTCTCACTAGACTGAGTGTAACAGTGGTGTTACTGAGCCGTGAGCTGCACTGTAAGTTAAAGCTGTAGCAGTAAAACTGATTGTTTTTCTCTGTACTGTACTGCAGTGAGTGTTCTGGCTGCTGATTGGCTGTTCAGGCTGTGATGTAATGACCCTGTATGTGTACAGCGTAATGTTTATCCTGCAGTAACGTGAGAGCGGAAGCTCTCTGTGTTCAGTTACCCTACACAGATATAGCATCACATACGTTCACCGTGCTACTGCTGCAGACCCGCTCAGAGGTCAGAGGTCACTCTCAGGGTCGTCCGACTCTCTCACATTACACCAGCGCTCTCTCAGACCCTCACAGTGCGGTGATAGTGAGCTCATGCTAATGAGATGCTAATGAGAAGAGTGAGAATACAGAGAGTATTATGTGCAGGTTAGTGTGTGTGTGTGTGTGTGGTTGGGGGGGTGTGGGGGGTGTGGGATAGCGATTATTTTAATAATCCATTGATCTACTGTTTGATCAGCGATACAGTGACCTTCATTCATTCAGAACAATATCGAATATTAATTATTATAATGTCATATTTATTATTATCAATTACGACTGATTTAAAAATTCAGATCTGAACAGCAAAAACAGGCATTTTAACCAGATCAGAATGTTTACATAAACAGTGTTCATACTGTACGTCCCTATGACATAGATATACAGTCCTGGGCAAAAGTTTGTGCACCCCTGGTTAAGATTCTGTGTGTTGTTGATGATCTGAGTGTAAATAAGTTACACATCCTCTACAGAGACTCACTACTGCACACTTCAGTACACACTCACTGTTTACTTACTGTATTACTGAGACGGAGATTCCAGAGTTTTATTGAGTTATTAATAGGCTCAGTAAATCCGACGGTAGGGCTAAACAACAGAATTCTTACTTTGCTAGTCCTCCGTTCATGGAAGACAAGGTAAGACATGAATAAGTCGACTTAGTTACAGTAGAAATAGGCAGTAATAAATTGTAATTAATCGTAATAATTAAATAGTAATCAAAATGGCCTGTGTCAAAAGTTATGGCACGTTTTATACTCTTTTATACTCTTTTTATAAATAGAAATTGTAAAAATTAGTAGAAAATGCCATATTTAACTGTGTTCTCAGTAGAGGACACACCTAAATACATAACTGTCTTTCTGGACAAATAAACACTGAATGTCCAGTTAAATATATTTTTAATTATGATGTTCTCAGGTGCCTAAAACCTTAGCTGGTGCTTCCTAAAGGTTAACAATTTTGTTAATCAAATAGAGCAAAATAATGGCTTTATTATTATTATTATTATTATTATTAGTAGTAGTAGTAGTAGTAGTAGTAATAGTACTCAGGGCCCATATTACCTCACAGACTGTCCCACCTGTATGTAAGCATGATAACACTCCATAATAATAATAATAATAATAATAATAATACAGTAATATTGTTTTTTTTATCACTCACAGTGTTATTACTCCTCATTACATCCTGTGCAGATGTAATTGGTGATGAACTCCAGCAGGTGGAGCTCTGAGGGTCCTCTGACCTTTAACCCCTCAGAAAGGTCTCTGCTGCTCAGTCTGGGTGGGGGGGGGGGCGATAAAACTGGTGTTATTGCAGGTGCCCCTCAGTGTCTCTGAGGGTCTGTGGGTGAAGCAGGTGGTCCACAGCTGAGGGGCTGTTACCAAGTCACACCTCAGCATTTGGACTGAAACCCTTTTGGCTTCACTGTCAGCTGTGAAAGCGTCTACCTGCTCCTTCACGACTAAACATCTACTACACACCTAAACATCTGCACTTCTACAGCACTTACACCCCCCAGCTCAGGGTCCGGTCACTCAGAAACACTGTCCAGTCAGAACACAGTTTATTAATACTTATTAATGCCTTAAAAGGAATTCATCATTAAAAATATAAATTATGCTCCTTCACAACATCTACTACTCATCTACACCCCCTCACAGTGTTCACAGTCACAGTGCTTTTACTCAATACCACTGTACAGTAGGAACACACTTATAAAGGCCTTACGGGTGGCTTAACAGCAGCTTAATAATGCTTATTAACACCTTAAAAGGCATTAATAAGCAGTTATAAGACAAATCAAAGAGAATCAGCTCAGATGTTGCAGGTTCTTTTGTCTCCTCTATCAGTCGGCATGAAGCCCATCAGCTTTGTCACATACATCACATACTATTGCCTTCTTTATATAACTGCTTATTTATGAGTTTTAAAGTGGAACTTGGAAAAAAGTCTGGTTCCATTGACTTACATTAAAAGTAAACTAGATTTTTTTTCCTTTTCCTGCAAAGTTATTTTGGAGATACGATATATATATATATATATATAACAGTGTTCAGTTCTTCTTGGCTTTGCTTTTCTATCTGCTTTCTATTTCATTGAATAAGTAGAGTTTTATATGTTATGTTAAAGCTGTTGTGTGATCACATTCACTCTGGGCTTTATGGTAGGAGATGTTTAAACATGGCCTGTCAGTCATCTAAAGAGGCCACACTCACTTCTAAACAGGCCACACCCACTCTGCTGCTCTAACCCTGCCCGGTGTATCTGTGTGTGTCTCTCAGATGGTCAGTGTGAAGGCAGGAGGGTGAGGAGCTCCTCCTGTGCTGCAGAGACACTCAGGTGCAGCGAGCAGAGTGAGGATGTATCCCTGTGGGGGGAGCGTGGGGTGGACCTGTGTGATCGTCCTGCTGGAGCTCAGTCTGCAGAGTGAAGGTAAGAAGGTCCCACTGAGGAGTGAAGCTCACTCTGATTAGCGTTTACCAGAGTGTCAGAGTGGAGTTTCAGTGTCATCAGCATTACAGGGAAGGACACATGACAGCAGTGTTTCAGTAGTCTTTACATTCAGGAATGACTCTACAGCAGAGCTGTGTTTCAGTAATGACTGAGTGATGGTTCAGTACTGTTCAAACTGAGCTTCAGCACTGTTTCAGTAGTCTTTACATTCAGGAATGACTCTACAGCAGAGCTGTGTTTCAGTAATGACTGAGTGATGGTTCAATACCGTTCAAACTGAGCTTCAGCAGTGAATACTGTTGGTGTTTCAGTGATGTGTGTGATTCAGTAAGTTTCAGTACTGATTATAGAGCAGTTCACCAACATTTCAGTGCATTTCACTGTTTCAGCACTGACTGAACAGACTAATGTCTAACTAGAGTTTGAGTTGGATTTGTTTTTGTGAATGTTTCACCTGAAATTTTAGTGACGTTTAATTACAATTAATTTAATTACAGCTTCAACAATATAAAGTGTTTTTGTGATGTTTCAGTAATGACTGAATACTGTTTCAGTAGTGCAGGAGTGTTTCAGTGGAGTGTCAGTAGTGAAATTCATTGGTGTTTCAGTAATTAGTGAGTAATATTTCAGCTGCTTGTGTTTCAGTAGTGATTCTATAGCAGTAGTTTACTGTTTGTTTCAGTGGTTCAGTGTTGAGACAGTGCTGTATTAGAACTTCAGCTGTGTGTCTGTGTGTGTGAGTGTGTGTGTCTGTGTGTGTGAGTGTGTGTGTGTGTGTGTATGTATGTGTGTGAGTATGTGTGTGTGTGTATGTGTGTGAGTATGTGTGTGTGTATGTGTGTGAGTATGTGTGTGTGTGTGTGAGTATGTGTGTGTGTGTATGTGTGTGAGTATGTGTGTGTGTGTGTGAGTATGTGTGTGTGTGTATGTGTGTGAGTATGTGTGTGTATGTGTGTGTGTGTGTGTGTGAGAGAGAGAGAGTGTGTGTTTATGTGTGTGAGTATGTGTGTGTGTGTGTGTATGTGTGTGAGTGTGTGTGTGTGTGTGTGTGTGTGTGTGTGTGTGTGAGTATGTGTGTGAGTATGTGTGTGTGTGTGTATGTGTGTGTGTGTGTGTGTGTGTGTGTGTGTGTGTGAGAGAGAGAGAGTGTGTGTGTTTGTGTGTGTGAGAGAGAGAGAGTGTGTGTGTGTGTGTGTATGTGTGAGCCATTTGTTAGGGTGTTTTTGGAACAACAGGGGGTGAGTTCACAAACAATAACACACACACACACACACACACTCACACACACACAGAGACACACACACACTCCTGCACACCTGTGGAGTATGTGTGTGTGTGTGTGTGTGAGTGTGTGTGTGTGTGTGTGTGTGTGTGTGTGTGTGTGTGTGTGTGTGTGTGAGTGTGTGTGTGGTGTGTGTGTGTGTGTGTGTGTGTGTGTGTGTGACGCTGTACAAAATGTAAATAAAAACAATTGGAAATAGTACGAAGACAACATATCAAATGTTGAAACTGAGAAATTTTATTGTTATTTGAAATACGTATCATGACTATATCTGATGTCAGCAACACGTTCCAAAAAAGTTGGGATGGGGCAACAAAAGGCTGGTAAAGTTGTGTAATGCTACAAAAAAACACCTGGTGGTTGATTGATAACAGATCAGTAACATGATTGGGTATAAAGAGCATCTCAGAGAGGCGGAGTCTTTCAGAAGTAAAGATGAGGAGGGGTTCACCACTCTGTGAAAGACTGCATCATCAAATAGGGCAACAATTCAAGAAGAACGTTTCTCAACATAAAATAGCAAAGAACTTTTGCTTTTCATCATCTATGGTACAAAATAACATTAAAAGATTCAGAGAATCTGGAGAAATCTCTGTATGTAAGGGACAAGGACAAAAAACAGTATTTGCTGGCTGTGATCTTTGGGTCCTCAGGCAGCACTGCATTAAAAACAGACATGATTCTGTAGTGGAAATCACTGCATGGGCTCAGAAACACTTCTGAAAAACACTGTCTGTGAAAACAGTTCATCACTGCATCCACAAATACAAGTTAAAACTCTAAAACGCAAAGAAGAAACCAAATATAAACAGATATAATATAATATAATCCAGAAATGCTGCCACCTTCTCTGGGCTCATTTGAAATGGACTGAGGTGAAGTGGAAAAGTGTCCTGTGGTCCGATTAACCAACATTTGAAATTCTTTCTGGAAATCATGGACACTGTGTCCTCCGGGCTAAAGACCCCTCAGCTTGTTATCAGTGCACAGTTCAAAAGCCAGTATTCATGATGGTGTAGGGGGGCATTAGTGCACATGGCATGGGTGACGTGCACATCTGTGAAGGCACCATTAATGCTGAATGATATAAACATGTTTTGGCAACATATGCTGCCATCCAGACGACGTCTTTTTCAGGGAAGGCCTGATTATTTCAGCAAGACAATGTTAAACCACATTCTGCATGTATTACAGCAGCATTACTCCGTATTAAAAGAGTCCGGGTGCTAAACTGACCAGACTGCAGTCCAGATCTGTCACCACTGATAACATTTGGTACATTATGAAATGAAAAATATGACAAAGGAGCCCCTGAACTGATGAGCAGCTGAAATCCTATATTAAACAAGAATGAGAACCATATGACTTTCTAAACTACAGCAGTGTCTCCTCAGTTCACCAAAAGCTAACAGAGTGCTGTTAAAGAAGAGGTGGTGAAACACAGTGGTAAACAGGCCCCCGTCCCAACTTTTTTCGGAATGTGTTGTTGGAATCAAATTCAAAAAAGGCATATATTTTTCAAATAACAATCAAATTTCTCAGTTTCAATATTTGATAAGTTGTCTTTGTACTATTATAAAATAAAAATATGGTTCACATGATTTGCATATCATTGCATTCTATGTTTATTTACATTCAGCACAGCATCCCAACTTTTTTGGAAATGGATTGTATATATATATATATATATATATTGTAGTGCTACAATATATGGGGCATTAATGGGGCAGTAATAGTGGTCAGTGTGGAGTCTCAGTGGTAGAATGGGGCATTAATAGTGGTCAGTGTGGAGTCTCAGTGGTAGAATGGGGTATTAATAGTGGTCAGTGTGGAGTCTCAGTGGTAGAATGGGGCATTAGTAGTGGTCAGTGTGGAGTCTCAGTGGTAGAATGGGGCATTAATAGTGGTCGTTTCGGAGCCTCAGAGCTTCATTAATGGGGTTTTAATGAGGAGCAGCTGCAGAACAAACACTGCGAGACCCTCAGTGTGACTGAAAGATCAACACTCCGACTGATAATGGAGGGATAATGGATGTGTAAACAGGTGTCTCTGCTCTTCACTGTGGAAACTGGTGTTTGTGTTCCCGATGCATGATGGGATGGGAACAGGTGCACTCGGCACATCCTCTGTTCTTCAGCGCTGCAGTCTTTTATCGCTTTCTCACTGTGAGTGTTACACAAATACGTAATGATTTACATTAATATTTTATCTCTAATCCGGATGAAGTGCTGCAGTTCTGCAGTGCTGAAACCAGTGTTTCTGGTTTCAATGTTAAAAAATGACAGAAATAGCAAAAAAAGTAAAACCCCACTGTTCACACAGCAGTAACTTCATCAAATTCAGATCCTAATGAAAAGCCTCCTCCTCTGCTCATAAACTCTAATGTACGATGGAAGGTGTAGAATGTACACGTTCCAAACAATTCATATAGAACTCCAGCATGGTGTTGTTATCAGTGCTGAGAACTGTGACCTAAACGTGTGTTTAAGTCTTAAAATGTGCGAATATGACTGACAGGTGTGAAATGTGGGTGTGTATGTAAGTGTGGGTGTGAGTGTGGGTGTGGGATTGAGCACTGAGGTTTGATTGATAGGTGTGAGTGTGTGGTGTTTGGTCAGCTGCCCCACCCCCATGCTGTGATTGGCTGCAGTGTCAGGGTTATTAATGAGGGTGGTAATTACTCACGCCAACCTGGAATGTTAAAGTAATCCATTACAAATGACTCATTGCTACTGATTCATAAAGGCAGCCTGAGTCTCCTGTATAAATACAACATTCGGTTATCCATAAAAATAATATCAGAGAATAACGAGCTCAGTTTTGCTCAGCATCTGTCTTGTGTATGATTTTCACTTTAGATCAGTTCAGTCTCGCCATCATTTCAGGACTAAACCAGTCTGATCAACTAATTGGCCAATTTAAGCTGATATTAGCACAACCTGTGGGAGGTTTCCAGCAATCAGTGCCTCAGTGAAACTGTCTTCACCTAAAGAGTCCTCTTTACACCTGTGTGGGAGGAATATGAGCAGCACCACTCTGTCTCCATTTAACCGTATGAAATGTAACAGGTTTCTTGACCTGGATGATCTTGGACTAAATTGTACTGTCAATGAAAATTCACTATTGAACCTTTTTAGTCCAGACTTAATCTTAGTCTGAGAAACTAACTAGTTCTAACTAGTACTTTATTTTTTAGGGATCTGTTCCAAAAATGTACTGCTTACAGTCCAGTCCCACATTCAGTAACCTGATCTCCATATATTCCACAAGTTTGCCTTATCAGTGCTGAAACAGGAGCCTCTCATTGGGCTTTACTTGGAGCTGACTTGATCTGGTTCAGTACTTTTGCTGTTATCTAGTTTTGGTGACTTTGTAGAACTTGACCTTCAGTTGGAGTTGCTTAGGGACTTTTAACTGGACTTGAACTTGAAGGTGATTTGACTTTGAATATGACCTGACAGTGAGATTAGAATTTGACTTAAAGATAAATTGTTTTAGACTTGGTCTTGAAGTAAAGATGACCTAGAATTGGACCTAAAGGTGAGATGAACTTGAATTGGACTTAACGGTTAGATAACTTTAAGGGTAAGACAATGTAGAGTTGGACTTTGGAAAGTTAGATGACAAAATTGCACTTAAAGGTAGGATGACTTAGAATTTGCATAGACTTAAGGTCAAATGCCATAGACTTGACTTAGACTTGAGGGTCAGAAGATGTAGACTTTACCTGGACTTCAGAGTGAAATGATGTAGACTTGAGCTGAACTTCTGGGTGGAATGACGTAGACTTGAGTTGGACTTCAGGGTGGAAATGATGTAGACTTGAGTTGGACTTCAGGGTGGAATGATGTAGACTTGAGTTGGACTTCAGGGTGGAATGATGTAGACTTGAGTTGGACTTCAGGGTGGAATGACGTAGACTTGAGTTGGACTTCAGGGTGGAATGATGTAGACTTGAGCTGAACTTCAGGGTGGAATGATGTAGACTTGAGCTGGACTTCAGGGTGGAATGATGTAGACTTGAGCTGGACTTCAGGGTGGAATGATGTAGACTTGAGCTGGACTTCAGGGTGGAATGAGGTAGACTTGAGCTGAAATTCAGGGTGAAATGAAGTAGACTTGAGTTGAACTTCTGGGTGGAATGACGTAGACTTGAGTTGGACTTCAGGGTGAAAAGATTTAGACTTGAGCTGAACTTCTGGGTGGAATGACATAGACTTGAGTTGGACTTCAGGGTGAAAAGATTTAGACTTGGGCTGAACTTCTGGGTGGAATGATGTAGACATGAGTTGGACTTCAGGGTGAAAAGATTTAGACTTGAGTTGGACTTCAGGGTGAAATGATGTAGACTTGAGTTGAAATTCAGGGTGAAAAGATTTAGACTTGAGTTGAACTTCAGGGTGAAATGATGTAGACTTGAGTTGGACTTCAGGGTGAAATGATGTAGACTTGAGTTGAACTTCAGGGTGAAATGATGTAGACTTGAGTTGAACTTCAGGGTGAAATGATGTAGACTTGAATTGCTTCTGAATGTTTTGCCAAAGTGTCCTGTCCTCTTTCTGAAGCTCTGATCTGTGGTGTAACAGTGGTGATGAGTCCACTCTCCTTTCAGCAGCGAGTGCTTTGGATGCCATCCTGCTGAGGAGTTCTGGGAAGGTGGAGGGAGTTCAGGACACAGGAAGTGATGCGGCAGTCCTACCTGAGCGTGTCCTGTGGTGCTACTGCTACCACCTCTGCCCAGAGTCCACCAACAACACCTGCAGGTAACTACTCAAACATGCATGTTATTAACAACCTGCAGGTTATTATGCATCTATACACAGACATGTATACATATATAAGCACATAACAATGGCAGGTGATACACCTGCTCACGCTCTTAATCACATGCTCACATTTACTCCGAGGTGCCAAACTGGGTGCTTCTCACTGGCCCTAAATTCATTGGTCATTGTATCATGAACACTTACCTTACAGATCTCTGAAGCTGTGTGTCGTTCTCTATTCAGCACCATGCCAATATTACGATCTCCAGTTCTAAACTGGGGCAGCACAGTGGCACAGTGGGTAGTTGTCACCTCACAGCAAGAATGGCCTGGGTTCGATTCCCATGGCCAGGCGACCAGGGCTCTTTCTGTGTGGTCCTTTCGTTCCCCGTGTCTGCATAAGTTTCCTCCCACAGTCCAAAGACATGCAGTCAGGCCGGTTGGAGATACTGAATTGAGTGTGTGCATGAATGTATATGTCTGTGTCTGCCCTGTGATGGACTGGTGGCCTGTCCATGGGTGTTTCCGGCCTTCCACCCAATGAGCACTGGGATATGCTCCAGCACTCCCCGTGACCCAGGAGGATAAGCGGCTTAGATGATAAACTATAAGCTAGTTTTCTCTTTGACAGAAATGAATGACATTTTTGAAATCTGCTGCTGTCTGACGCTGTGGTAAACAAACATGTTCCTAACCACATTGGATCTTCTGAGTGATGAGGTCATGTAAGCTAATACTGCTGGGCACTGAACTGACATCATAAGACTGACCTCACCAAAATACCTCACACAGACTATCAGGCTCTGTTCAGTGGGGTAGTTTAGCCAGTTTGCCAGTTTTAGGCTGGAGGTTGAGCAGCTGGTGTTGGTAAATAACAGTGTTAAAGTTTAAAAGTAGGTGTCATTTTTGCACAATACCCTCAGCTTACTTGTAGCATCGAAACAGCATAATTTGAACAACCTTGTTGTTTAAAGGATCTGGTGACACTCGTGGGACAAACCGTCTGTACTGCTTTGGAACATTTCTTTTCACCACCAAAAGTGAAAACATTTTTGAAAACATCAACATTTTCCCCATAGAGAAAACCAGCTCAGTCCTGGAGTTCCTAATAGAGCATGATGCCACCAACAGAGTGAAGACATGATTTCATAGGACTATAGGTCTACTATTCTATTCATTATTGGAAAGGGACCACTATAGAACCACTGCTGCCCAGATGTTATTTGGGTGGTGGATCATTCTCAGCACAGCAGCGACACTGACATGGCACTGCGGTGGTGCCGGTACGTGTGTGGTCAGTGTCACTGCTAGGGTTGAGAGTGGACTATCACATCTCTAACACTTCTGACTTTGAGACTGTATGTGTGCGTAGGACGGATGGTTACTGCTTCACCATGGTGGAGGAGGAGGGGGATACAGCAGTTCTCACGTCAGGCTGTTTGGGTCTGCTGGGGTCTGAATTCCAGTGCAGGGTGAGTACAGACTGAACACATAATACAGACTGTAAATACTGTCCAGAGTAAACTGTGTTTTAACCAACTAAACTGCATACTTGTAGGACACAGGGAACTCCCGCCAGAGGAGGGCACTGGAGTGCTGCACAGATCAGGACTACTGCAACAAAGACCTGCACCCTGTACTGCCCCCTCTGAGGACCCCCAGTGAGTAACACACACACTCAACACTCAGCAGAATAAGCCCAACCTGTACCCGTGAGTTTGAGATCCCACCTGACCATGCCAGACTGGTACTGCTCAATTTAGACCCAAACACGACCCATACCTGTGACTCTGACATCTGACTCAACCAGGCCTGACTGGTACTGCTAAACGTAAACCCAGACACATCTTGTACCAGTGGCTTTGAGACCTGTCCCGAGCAGGACCGACCGGTCCTGCTAAACTTAGACCCAAGCTTGACCCATACCTGTGACTTTGAGACCTGCCCCAACAAGGCCCAACTGGTACTGCTAGATTTGAGATCCCAGATATGACCCGTACTCATGACTGAGATCCGAACTGACCAGGACTGGTACTGTTAAATCTGAAACCTGAACATGCAACTTTGAGATTTAAAAAAAAAATATATGTAATTCTTTCAAATAGAAAAGAAAAAGAAAAGAAAAGAAACACAAGTCTGATTAGTACACAACGACCTGGAGCCCGGTGCTGGTGCTGTTTGTGGTCTGTAGCTTTATATTTAGATGTTTGTTTTATGTCTTATAGGTCTTCTTCTAAGTCTGTTCTGATGTTTGTTTGTGTGTTTGTTTAGGTTATGTAGGTGGAGATATTCATCACATCGCTCTCCTGATCTCAGTCACTGTCTGTACCTTCATCTTCACCTTCATCATCCTGTTCTGCTACTTTAGGTGAGACACTCAACCTTTTATTCTTACTTTGTCTTTGATGTTGTGTTTTATATATTTTATTGACTTTATAACTGTATCGTCTCCAAGTGCTGAGTATATAATGTATTGTCTCTGAGGTTTAGCAAATTTGAGAAAAGTGAGAAAATTTTTATGAAAATTTATTCATAAAGATAGTGCAGTGCCCCCCCATCCCTTTATCTTTTTAAGATTTCTGGATTTTGGTAACATTGTTAAAGTATGGCTGTTTGTGTGCGTCAGGTATAAGCGCCAGGTATCGGCCACTCAGTACAGTCTGAGTCTGGAGAAGGACGAGAGCTTCATTCCAGCAGGAGAGTCTCTCAGAGACCTGATAGAGCAATCACACAGCTCAGGATCAGGATCAGGACTCCCCCTGCTGGTGAGACTCACACACTGAACACATACTGTACATATACTGTACATATACTCCCCCTGCTGGCGAGACTCATGCACTGCACACATACTGTACATACACTGTAAATCTACTCCCTCTGGTGATGAAACTCACACACTACATGTATGTGTGTATGCAGGTTCAACGCACCATAGCGAAGCAGATCCAGCTGGTGCGGCAGGTGGGGAAGGGTCGCTATGGTGAGGTGTGGCTGGGCCGCTGGAGAGGAGAGAGAGTGGCCGTTAAGGTGTTCTTCACCACAGAGGAGGCCAGCTGGTTCAGAGAGACTGAGATCTACCAGACTGTACTGATGAGACACGACAACATACTGGGTACAACACACACATCCACACATACTGAGAGACACACTAACACACTCACTACAAATAAACACGCCTTCAGATTTAATGAGCCACGCTCAGAGTTGAAGAACTCCATCTGCTGTATGATGGTCTTTGGAGGAAGTTTGGTCAAAAACCTTATAGATCTGGTTACTGGTTAAACTGGAATTTTGATTGGTTGGTGTCTATAAATAATACTTCACATATTTATTGAAAGTGCTTTTATTTGTGTTTTTGGTTTATTTATTTCTAAGAGTTTAAGGCTGAAAGCATGTTTGAGCAGTCGTTTTGAGTTGGCCTAATCACATCACTATGGTGAATTATTATGGTTCTGCTTACTTTAACTCATGTAGCATCTCCATGTGTGCTTTCCCAGGGTTCATAGCAGCGGACATTAAAGGCACTGGCTCATGGACGCAGCTGTATCTGATTACGGATTACCATGAGAATGGCTCTCTGTACGACTACCTGAAGTCCACCACTCTGGACACTTCGGCCGGACTCCGTCTGGCCCACTCAGCTGCCGCTGGACTGTGCCACCTGCACACTGAGATTTTCGGCACTCAGGGCAAACCGGCCATCGCCCACCGCGACCTCAAGAGCAAGAACATCCTGGTAAAGCAGAACGGAATGTGCTGCATCGCTGACCTCGGCCTGGCCGTACGGTTCCTCAGGTTTGTAAATTCTGAAATGTGTGGTTTTTCCAAATCATGTTTTCCAGAAGAGGTTAGTAAGATCAAGTGATATGCTTTTATCTATAAAATTGACAAAAATACAGACAACATTCAGAACACACAATTTGCTTTAGTCCATGTTTGTAGATAATAGTGAGTCATACAACGTCAGAAACCACAGAGATACTGAACACCTCCACAGGGTTTGAGCCAAGAATGTAATTATTCAGACATGCAGTTGGCACCATGCTAATTAGTGGAGAGTAAGCGTCCATTACTTGTTAGCTACATTAGCCTCATATCTCCAGTCCTAAAGCTAAAGAAGCAAATCTCAGATGCTAAACATGTCTTGGCTGATTGACTGTATTAGGGTTAAGGGGGAAACTGGAAATTTCACTTGAAGGAAGTTAAACGTACCAGTGTTGCTGTACTGCGTCTCAGGTACAGCCATATTAAATACGTGTGTGAGTCGTGTGTTGGTGTGTAATGTGTAATGTTATTGTGTTGGTTCACTGCAGTGACAGGAATGAGGTGGACGTTCCTTTAAACACCCGTGTGGGCACTAAGCGCTTCATGGCTCCAGAGGTCCTGGAGGAGACTCTGAACCGGAATCACTTCCAGTCCTACATGATGGCTGATATGTACAGCTTCGGCCTCATCCTCTGGGAGATTGCCCGACGCTGTGTGTCTGGAGGTATCTTATAGACCCACTATACCATGACTGCCATCTATAGCCTCCACTATACTTTCATCACCATCCACAGACTCTGCTATACATTCACTGCTTTCTATAGACTCCACTGTACCTTCAGTACATCCTATAGACTCCACTGTACCTTCACTACCTTCTATAGACTCCCCTGTACCTTCACTACCTTCTGTAGACTGTACTGTAACTTTACTACCATCTGTTGGCTCTATCATACCTTCATTACCGTCTATAGACTTTACTGCACTTTCATTGCCATCTATAGTCCCCACTATGCATTTATTACCATATATAGACTCTGCTTTACCTTCACTACATCTATAGACTCTCCTGTAACTTTGCTACCAATTACCATAGTAATTGACATAGGACGTTGTGGCAGCTATGCAGTGTGTGTCGTGATCCGTAGTTTGATGTAACATATTGCTGATTGTCTGATGTTCTGCGCAGGCATGGTGGAGGAGTACCAGCTGCCGTACCATGAATACGTTCCTACAGATCCGTCATACGAGGACATGAGGGAAGTCGTCTGCATCAAGAGAATACGGCCCCCGTTCCCCAACCGCTGGAGCAGCGATGAGGTACACACGCAGCTTCTCATACAGCTGTTAATTAGGAAAGGGGGGGAAGGAATTAGATGCATACATGCTAAAGAAATTGACTTTGGAAGTTGACCCATCAACACACTACTCTAGCTTTCATTGTGGTCCTTTTATCAGTGATGTAATAGTGTTTGGTGACTTTATCTTCACCTGGAAAAGGACAGAATTCACTATGTTGTGTTTACAGAACAGTTTCTCAGTAACTTTCACCCCAACTGCAATTGTCAGCAACTTCCAGGGCAACTTTAAAAGTATTCAACCCTTGTTTCTGACACTTTCTGGGTGGTGAAATCGATGATCCTCCTTAAAAACATTGCCTTTTTAGATCATCGCAAAAGCCATGAATCGAATATTAAAAAATTAATGAATACGTTCTCGCAGATCAAAGTTTTAATACAGTTTTGAAAGCCTGATTTGTCGGTGACGCCCACTTCATTCACCTGTATCTACAGACGTCCAGGCAGACGCTCTAACGCTGTTGTTTGGTGTTGCAGTGTTTACGGCAGATGGGGAAGCTGATGAGTGAGTGTTGGGCCCACAGTCCGGCCTCCCGGCTCACCGCGCTGAGGGTGAAGAAGACGCTGGCTAAGATGTCCGAGTCTCAGGATATTAAACTCTGAGAGCCAGCTAACATGCCAGCCGCATAAACACAGAGACTGCCACCATGATCCCACCCACAATGCCCTGCTTTGGACTAGAGCAGTCCATCTGGTCTTGGCGAGTGTAAAAGCAGAGGAGAGTCCCTGACAGCACTACTGGGTGGATCCATCTGAAGATGAGCGATTGAAGGAGTTTTGTTGTTTTTGGAGCAGGAGGTGTGGCAGCATTCAGGCTTGATCCCAGGAAGAGCTCCCCCTGGTGGGCACCAGCCAAACAGCCCCAGAGCTGAAGACATCACCACTATGACAGAGCAGAATGGGACAGATAGCACCGAGAAATGTGAATGATCCCTGTGAATGGCGCTCAGTGCTAAAGCTAACGTGACTGGATAAGGAATTCGCTCAGTGCCTTCGGTTTTGTTCCTACAGACCCCCCTGTGCAGTGCAGTGCTGCATTTTTAATAATGTGAGAGAAAGAAATGACTGAATCTTGCAGATTAAAGACCATTTTTGAGGCCTGTTCCTTTGTTTGTCCTGTTTAAATTTGTCTCAGATGAGCATGTCGGTTTCTACGCTGAACCACGCTGAAACTCGAGTGTTGGGTTGATTTTGTAAATGTTGAGGTTCTGGGTCACTGAGTAGTGATGGATCTCAGGTCAGTGGTGTGGAGGAAGCTCAACAGAAATAAGGTGCATCGGACGTGCAGCTCAGTGTGAGCTTTCTCCATAACACTGGATCTTATTAGTGATGACCATGTTAACAAAGCATCAAACATTGTCTCAGTTTCCCAAAACTAAACAAGGGGTCAGTAAATGGAAGCCGGTGGTTTAGCCCAGCGTTACTGAGTGCTATTAAGGGAAGAACGATCACAGCAATAGTGGGTCATTTGCGAGTGATAAACAGTGTCAATGTTGTTTTCATCATCATTTCTGCCACTGTGAGTCCAAACAGGAGCTGAAGTGAAGGTGAGGTGATTCATCATTTCAGTTATGTTTTCCACGGGTCTGTTCTGTCAAATATATTAGGTGTTGTAAAATAGGTGTCAGATCCAATCTGTGGCTTTCCAGAACCACATAAAGTCCTGCCTCCACAAGGCTGCTTAATGTGGTTTAGTGTATGGTTTAGTTATGGGCCAATGCGCATTAATAAATATTTATGTAAATGTGCCAGTCTAGCCAGTTTGGCTAACGGCAGCTTACCCAGTTCGGCTGTGGCTCACTGGTGTTCAAATTCTGATCAAGATATAACGGTTTAGTGAAGGCAGCTTATCACCAAACGGTACAGAGCACCATCACCCCCTGAATAGCTCCTGCTCCTGTAACGGTGTTGATGTTAATGCGTTTGTTTATTTGCTGTTTGTGTTTCTACATTTAATCCTGTTTAATTACTGTTGGATGAATGACTGAATTACTGCGTCTCCTCCTGGTTTTCTGTGGGTGAGTAGCTCATTACAGCAGCCCTGAGCGGCTTTCAGCACACGCCCTGAAACATCATGAGCACACATACTTTATTATTCTCTCTCTCTTTGTCTTTTCTCTCTCTCTCTCTCTCTCTCTCTCTGTTTTTCTGTCTGTCCCTCTCTCTCTCTCTCTCTCTCTCTCTCTGTCTGTCTGTCTCTCTCTCTCTCTCTCTCTCTCTCTCTCTCTGTGCTCTCTCTCTCCCTCTCTCTCTCTCTCTCTCTGTGTCTTTCTGTCTGTCTCTCTCTCTCTCTCTGTTTTTCTGTCTGTCTCTCTCTGTCTCTCTCTCTCTCTGTCTGTCTGTCTCTCTCTCTCTCTCTCCTCTCTCTCTCTCTCTCTCTCGTGGGAAAGCCGTTTGGGAAATTAGTTCGGGAAACCGAAACTAACTAAGAGCCAATCAAACCAAACAGAGCGAGAGCCGGCTGGGCTGGTGTTTCAGCCAATCAGATCGCAGAGTAGGCTGTGCCCGCCGGTCTAGCTAATCAGAGTGAGGAGTGGGCGGGGCGTCTGGTCTCCCGCTCTTTTTTGAACTAGTTTTCACTGCTCAGATCAAACCTGAGAGAAAAACCACCCAGACGGTCAAAATAACCGAGATAAAGCTTCATTCTCCCCTGGAGGGCGAGGCCGGCGGCTCCACTCAGGCAGGGTGACGTTTCTGGAGGTAAAGAACCTTTAATTCCTGTGAGACAGAACCAAACGTGGCTTTTAGCTGCTGGTTTTCTCAGCAGTCGCCTGTTTGTCCAGCTGTGCTGAGAGGGGGAGCAGTGGGAAAGCTAACAGTGCTGCAGTGATGATCCACTTCAACACCAGTCTGTGATTTATTAATAAAGATACTTTAATCACTGTGAGTTACTGTAAGACCACATCAGCAGGTCCAGTTCTGAGCGCTTCACTGGGCTTACTGGGCTTACTGGGCTTACTGGGTTTACTGGGGACCAGGCTAACCCTTTAGCTTAGCTTTACTGAGAGACTACCTTAGCTACACAGCTAACGAGCTAACAGACACCATAGCATAGAACCAGCAGTAGTGCAGTCAGTTACCAGCTCCATAGATATACAATCTGTACACAAGTTTACATAGACTTACATATCTGTGCTGTTATTTATTGAGTAATTTATGTATTTATGTAAATGAACTAATACACTCTTAAAAAATGTGGTTCTTCGTGGGTTCTTTAATAAAGAGAATGATTTATTAAGAATCATTTGCAAGCTTAAATGTTTCATTGCTTGGTGAAAATGGTTCCATGTAGCACCAAAAAGGGTTCTGCTGTCGTTATGATGTCAAGCTTGTCACAATAGCAGAACCCTTCTTGGTTCTATGTAGAACCTTTTTTCAAAAAAGATCTGTTTAGAGCCATAAACAACATATTCTTCATCAATCTGAGGAACCATTTCACCATGCAGAGAACCATTTAAGAATGAAACGGTTCTGTATAGAACCCAGAACACACTTACAGACGTTATAGTGAATATTTCAGGTTCTTTGTGATCATCAGAGGTTATGAAATCAGTTAAAGTGCTGAGCTGTAATTATTGAGTCCTCTGAGGTTTGATGATCAGGTCAGCAGTTTTCCATTTTGAACGTAATCTGAAAATGCCTGTTGTCCTTTTCATTGTGTATAAATTTCATGATGAATAGACCAAAAGAAACAGACTTGGGAAAAAAAAATACAGTAGGTTTTTCCTTCTGTATAATTATCATTTTGGAGATGCATGATTTTTTTTTTTTGACAGCAGCAACTTTTTAATTTTTTTTTTTTAGTGGTTACCAAAATTTAAATTTCTGAAACGGCAAGTTTTTTTTTCCATGAATTGAATAAAAAAAAAAATATATGATTACACAAAGTACCAGTACAAAGAAGAAGAGTAGTAAGACTGGCTGTAACTCTGCATTGTGTTCTGGTCATGAGGATAAATCTGCTGTTTACATCAGTTCAGTTCATAATTCTATAAAAAGTGCTGCCATATCTGAGTTACTCTGCAAAGACAAACCTAGCTACACTCTTAAAAGATGGTTCTTCAAGGGTTCTTTAGTAAAGAAAATGGTTCTATTAAGAACCATGAGCACTCAAAGAACCTTTTTCATGATTAAAGCATTCTTTGCATCATAAAAGGTTAGGTTGTATTCTCTTTCTTTCTGGGGAAAGTGCACAACTACGCCATCTGCTGGCTGCTTTCAGAACACTTTGAATCACCACTTATTCCTCCAGGGGGATTTTATTGATCACGGATTACAAATCAGTTAAAGGTGGAACTTTAATGAAGCAGTAAGTCCTCGACTGTAGACACACACACACAGGGGTTACGAACACAGTAGAACAGCAGAATGTTCTGCAGCTGAACTGCAGAACCCCTGGCTCTGTGTCACAGCTGCATTATGGGATGTGTGATGGTGATGTTGTCTGTGTGAAAATCTTTGTAGTCCGTCTTAAAGAGGCTCTCATATAATCTGTATTTCTGCCTTTTACTCTCAATTAACAGCTTAGATCACTGAGTCAAATTCACCTGAATGTGGAGGCAACTCAGCACTTTATGTAGTACAGCCTGTAATCTGCATCACTGATCATCTCCATTTTCCCTTTATGTCTCCTAGAGGAAGTAAGCGTGTTCACTGCTGGACGTAATATTGGACAGAACTAACCCTCAAAAAGGAGACCTCCACCTTTTACTCTACCTTCTTACTACCAGGTAAGTATATTCCAATAATATGTATCAATACAGTCTATTCTACTGGCGTTTTCTGCCTTGTTAGTTTGTCATACACTGCAAAAACTGGTATCTTCTCCAGTAATATTCTCTTAAATTTAGTCAATAAAACTAATATTTCTACTGTTGAGATTGTTGAAGACTTAATTTAAGATAATTCCACTTATTTCCAAACATCATGTACTTGTTTTAAGTGAGTTTATTAAGTAAAATGATCTCAGTATATCGGCAGATAATTTTGCTTGTTGTATGAAATCAGCTTCAAACCAGCAAAATTATCGGCCGATATATTGAGATCATTTTACTTAATAAACTCACTTAAAACAAGTACAAGAAATAAGTTATAGATAAATAATATATAAGATATATTTCTAATAGGTAATATTTGATATATGGACTAGATTTAAGATCATTTCACGTGACAAGATACCATTTTTTTGCCGTGTATTAATGACGATTCATCATATCTTTTAGAGGATAAAATGACTTTTCCGTTAACCTTCCATCAAAATGTAATGACTTTAGCCCCGCCTCCAAACATCTTTTGAGTGGGTAGATCAAAATAATGTTAACCAACAGTACAATGTTTTCCTCACCCCCACCACCCCAACCACCCAAATGCTCAGCGAGCTCAGAGACCCTCCCTCATACAGAGTTCCCTGAAATGGAAGGAGAATGAATTATGATTTCACAATAAACCTGACTTTAATACTTTGAGGAAATATTATAATTGCTCCCAGTAGAACTGTCAGCTTGTATCATTATTAGTGTCGGACATATAAAGGTTTTAAAAGTGGGCGTGGCCTTTATTTTTGCCTTAAAACGGGTGCTGTGGAAAAATTAGCGCGGATTTTAATAACCTATAACTTTTGAAATACTAATGAAATGTTTCTTTGGTTTAAAGTGAACTTAACTGCCCCAACAGAAGTTCCTGGGTAAGAGTGTTTGAGGGTTAATGGAGAACGTGGTTAATCATTCAAACCGCCAGTTGTTCCAACACTGACATCGCTATTCAAGCGTCTGTTATGCTGCACTGTGGAAAGTCAAAGAGAAAATAATCCATATCAATTTTATGGCCTGTGGAAAAACGTCTTTTTGTGCATTTATTAATTGAAATCTGCTGTTTTCTGTTCACATTTATTCATGTACTGTGTAAGACCTGTTCCTCTTTACCTGAGTTCTTAGGATTAATCGATTGATTCAGCTCTTCCATTGCTGTGATGTTGTCTTTGCTGTCATTGTGGTTATGTTGTCATTATCGTGCCTGTTTGTATTCACTGATCTGAAATAGATTTGTGTCTGCTTTGTAACAGGTCGTCTACAGAATGGATTTTAACAAGACCAAACCAGACATCAGGAATTATTTGCAGCCTCTGAGGCAAAAAGTGAGTAAATTTAATAACTTACTTGACTGGCTCAACATCAGAAGTTGATGAAGCATCAAAGTGCTGTAACTGAGTGAAAACAGAAACACTGTAATGATCCCAGTAAAAGTAGAGTAGTGTAAAAGTACTTGGTCATAACTGCAGTCACAGAGGTTTCATGGTTGTCATGGATCCCTCATTCATTTTAGATAATCTTTAACAGGCTTTAGTAATCCACACTTCTGCCCTTTGATCTGCCTGTTGTATATTAGACTTCTTTGTAACACTCTTTTGCAAAAAAGATAAAAGATAAAAAGGTAAAAATAAGTTAAATGTTTTAAATATTTAAATACGTTTGAATAATAACAAATTACCAGTCGTGAGGAAGACATTTAGACTAAAATGTGAAACTGCAACTGATCTTGCTGGAAGAGTGGTTTAATGCTGAGAGGGAATCTGTGACTGATGGTGAAACAAAGTCAAGTGTTTAACAGACTGTATTCCAGTAATGGACATAATCAGAATGGGCTCTGCTGCTTTGAGTGCTGGATCTGTAGAAGAACCAAAGATATCACTCCTAGTTTTGTCTATGATTATGAACTATTAATGTCTGAAGAGACTGAAAGGTGTCAGGAAGACTGAATTGTATCAAAGACACAATGTCCTCTAATACTCATAGACATTAGTGTTCCATAGAAAGATGCTAAAATCCACTGTCAGTATCAGCATTAGGGAATACTGATACCATAAAGAGATTTCTGACATGCATGCTGTAATGCATTAGAGTCCATCTAGCATCAAAGCCTAACCCTATCCGATGTAGTGGAGGGCTTCAGTGATGAGAACCAGGCTGATGAATGAGTTAAATCTTTTAGAAAAGTCTCTGAGTTGCTGAGTCAAACAGCAAGAAGAACAAAATGTATCAGTCTCACCAGTTATATGCATTATAGCAACACCTGCTCATGTAGCTCCTTCCCAAAGTTCCCAAGTGTGTGCTCCCTCAGAGGTTACATCCTCTTGGTGTGAGTGAGTCAGAGAGTCTCAAATCCCTGGAAGAAATGACCAGAAAACTAATGAAAAAGGGAAAAGGAGAAATTAATGGAAACATGTATTAGTGGCCTCAGCAAAGTCCTTATAGGAAAGTCTGTTCACTTTGCAGCCATCATTGCATCATTGCTGGGTAGTTATGTCCAGCCATACAAGACCAGACTCCTCTCTTTCTGAATGAGCAGCGACCAAAATACTCCAAACTGAAGGTCAAATTACTCCTTCAAACAGATGTTTGAAATCGCTGGTAAAATCTAGTAAAAACCTCATAAGTAGTTTGTAGTGTTTCAATAACACACAAAAATATGTTTTTCCATGTTGTTCTGACTATTGATCTCCAAAACAAGGCAGGGCATCAGCGTAACCAACAAGCTGATTGGCTCTTTTTATTGAAGGACGGGACCTTCTAAATAAATGGACACCATGTTGAGTGTTATGAGCGTAAACATCTCCTCATTTATAGTGTCTGTGGCTTCACTCGCACGAACATCACCAAACACAACACACTGGCCTACAAAACATGTCAGCGCCATGATACATAACTCTTGTAATCAAACAAATTCTTACACTGGGCATAAAAAACTGAAGTTTTCCCAACATAAGACTTCTTAGCTTAAAAACAGCAGAACTGTTTGTAGCTCTGTAACTTTGTTCTTCTTTAATGCCACTACTGAACATTAATACTCCCAGGTGCCCCCTAGTGGTGGGAATAAATACATTAATAAAACAGCAGTATCCACAATGGTTATAATCATCCTGCAAGTAAATGCCATTCATTCAAGCTTAGTGTGTTTGTGACACAAAACATCTAAAAAGTGAAACTGTATAAATCTCAGGATTTATAGGCATCTATAGAGAAGTTGGGTCAGATAGAATTTGGATCGGTATCCAGACCTCGGATTCGGTAGATATGTGAGGATCAGGTATCGGAAGGAAATCTGTTGGTGTAAGATTGTACTAGTGAGATGAGTTGGGAAGCCCCAGCAATGTTTTTTTAATGGAGAAAACATTTTAATATAGTTACTTCATATGATGTGTGAGTGACACTTGGCGTGCACAAACATAGTTCCTATTTCAGTATAATAACACAGCACCAGTGCATTAATGACAAACAAATAATATTGTATACTTGATCATCTGTTTCCCCAGCAAACGATGAAGGAAGATGAAGAGCAAGACGTAGGAAAGGGCAGCACACAGCTGGTAGGTCATACAGACTCCACTCACTAACCTCCTGATTCTTATCACGAAGAAACTGTTGAGTTGTTGTATCTTCATTATGAAGTTTTGTTCACAGGATTATAACTGTGGTTGTTTTGCTGTTTTTCAGAAAACTGAGAACAGCAGACATGCTTTCAAGTTCTGCTGTCAATCTAAAAAATATGAAGTGACCTGTGATGCGTCTATGACCGTGCTGGAGGCGCTTCTCTCAAACAAAAACTTTAAAGGCATTTATAAAAAGAATAGGGGAAAGGAGACGGTCATCCAGAGAGAGAAAGTGCCAAGAGGTGCTGTCCCCACAGATTTCCCCTGCTGCCTGATCGATGATGATGAGCTTCTGGACATAAAATTCATCAAATCTAGTGGAAACAGCAGTTCAGAGAATAAACCAGTCCTCCGTTCACTGATGAACAGCACTGAGAACTTCATTGTGTTTAACATCAAAACAAGAGGCGGCCGCACTGTGAAAAGGCTGATGAAGAACCAGGAACTGAAGCAGGTGGTGGATGATGTTTGCGTGTTTGCATTAAAAGGAGAAAAAGTGAAGGAGGCTCTTCGGCGTGACGGGCGATTTAGCAGGGTGATTTTTCGCAAACACTGTGGACTCTCAGAGCTGGGGTCTGAGATCATCACTGATATGTCAAACACTGTTGACCATCTGCATGAAAAGCATTTCAAAGTGATTGTTATTGACAACCAGCCAGCCAGCCAGGAGTCCAGCCAGGAGTTTGATACGATGAAGAATGAATCTGGTGAAAATATCCCCAGTTCTCCCACACCTGGCAATCTCAGCCAGGACTCTGCTAACCCTCAACAGCAGAACCGTCAGCCCACCGAGAAAGAAGACAAGAAAACATATCCGAAAAGAATCCAGGTCAAGGAAATCCCAAACACAGAGGAGATCCTGAATCTTCTGCGGAGTCAGTTTGAAGGTTTGCAGAAGCAGCTGGAGGAGCGCGAGAGTCTCACTAAGCCTGCTGAGGTGCAGAAGTTCTTCAGAGAAGAGTTCGATAAAAGTGCTCAGAGCTTCTCGGAGGTGAAGAGAGTGAGACAGCTGACGAAGATTTCTGACTCTGTCTGTCAGATCCGTGTAGATGGTTCTGCATGTGGAACCGGATTTCTGCTGTTTGACAGGTTCATACTCACTAACGCACATGTTATTGGAGACTTTGACCCGTTCTCACGCAGGCTGCACCGCCCCATCACTGCTGTGTTCGACTATGAGGATTTGGACACAGCGAACAAACTGCCGGTGAAGGAGAACCTTGTTGCCTACTATCGTGGTAAGGACAACAAGGGGGAACATCTGGACTTCGCTCTGCTGGAACTGAGTGATGATGCAGAACTTCCTAATTGTCCGGAATTGCTTAGCAGGTACAGTCCTCCTCCCACTAGAGGTGGGATCTGCATAATTGGACGCCCTGGGGGTGGAGTCAAGAGAATGGACCCCTGTTTCATCATTGAAAAAGACGAAGCTCTAAATGCAGCAGACGAGCACCTGGCTGAGAACAGCGACTTCTTTCACGTCATAACACAGCAGTGTTTGGCAGAGAAATGGGAATACCATTATTCCCAGATCAGTTATAATTCCTGTTTCTTCCATGGATCCTCCGGCTCACCGGTCTTTAATGATCACTGCGAGCTGATTGGTGTCCACACTGGTGGCTACACTTACAAAGGAAAAGGAGGGAAAACCAGGAGTGTGATGGAATACGCTTTTCCCATGTTCCCCATCCTGGTGTGCATCGTCAGACAGTGCAGGCAGAACGGCAGATCTGATATTGTTCAGTACTTTGAGGATCAAAGCAACATGAAATATGTGCTTCAGGTGGCGAATGAGCAGTGAAATCAGCAGAGTACAAGCATTCTAGTTGCTCCAGCTCTTTCATTTCTCACAACCAAATATATATATATATAGAACACCAAGAAGGACTATGGCTTCTGTTTTCCATTTGTCAGGTTAATCACATATTTACACACATTTATTTTAAACAAATTTTTTATTTGTGGTAGCCCAGCACCACGACAGTGGACACAAACCCCCAAAAAATCAGCATGAAAGACTAAAGGTTATTTGTAATGAATGTTGGAACCATTCTCTTTTTTGTTGTTTATTGATTGACATACATATTGCCGGTGGATAAAAGCCCCTGAATCCAACAGTCAGTGTCCACACACTGTGGCAGTGGAGGGATTGCAAATTTTCAAAGTGAACGGACGTGTAACGATCGTGAGGGTCTTCACCAGGCAGTGATTAAGGATGGGTCAACATGTCTGAGTGATCCCACTCATACATCATTTATCAAACAACATATCCAAGTGCAAATACAACATTGATGAGACTATGAGAGAGTATCTGTGACCATGACCATGAGGACAATTGATCTAGACCAAGCTCCACATGTCACCAGAGCAGTTTGTCAGGAAGTGTCACAGGAGCTTCACCCCACCATCATCTTCAATCATCAAGCATTGTGGATCACATTTATTAAGCCATCAAAGAAAAGTAGTCAAAAATGGCTTTCAGCAGTTCTATGCAGCACAGAGCCACCCAAAGACACTGGACTGAGCACATACATACAAGACTCTACTCAGTTGACCTTCACTTTCTGTTCTACATGATGTAAAATCACATACAGACCTAAAGACAAAACCTTTCCTCCAACGTGATTCTCAGAGAATGCGTAAACAACCCTGCATCGTGTAGTTATGTTAGAATTGAAGTTTGTGGGGGGGAACATGCCTGAAACCCCGCCTTCTTCCAAACTAACGCCCTATAAAGTCACATCCTCACCTTCTGCTCCAGTGACGTGGGGTCCGCAATCCCTACCGCCACCCCATCTCCTCCCTGTCCCTCAGTCCTACATCAGTCCTACTACAGTTTTGAGGAAGTCCAGTCTTCTAGCTACAGGCAGCATCTGCCTAGAACTCCAGCCCAAGTTCTCAGAGTTCTCCCCCTCCCTCAACCAGTCTTCCTTCATACTACCACCACCATGCTGAGGGGCATGATTTGAGCTCATGAAGTAAAATGAGCTTAGTCTTCTAATGCTGAACTGTTAAGGACACTGCACATCGGACGCGCCACAGTGCAGTGTCGCATTATGTCACATCACATAGTGTCGCATAGTGTAGCAGAGCAGAGCTGCAGGCCAGCAGGGAGAGCTGATAAACACCAGGTTCAAGTTTGTTTTTAAACTCTACTCATTTAAATTGAATGAAATAACATGTTCAGCATCACCCATCATGCTTGGTATCAGTGTACTACCTCTACACAGACTGGCTGCTTTCCAGCTGACAAAGGCTAGGCTAGTGACGTAAGCTGAGCTATCGTACTGTTAGCACTTGTCTGCTTGTCTGAAGGTTTGGCTGACGGTCTCTGTGTAAATTTCAAGCCATGTGATCTATTGTGGTCTCAGTATGGCAGTAATTTAATGTAGTACAGGTTAATTCTGTGTGATGTGCTGTGACACGCTAAGAAGCTGAGCAGTGCTCAGAGACACCAAGCGCTGGTGCATGTTGAAGCGCTGTGTCAGCTCTGGTGTCAGTACTTCCTTTAAAATCAGTGGTTTCAAATGTTTTGGACGCTTCGTGACTCGATTGGCGTGTCCAGTGTTGAGTGGCCTTTAGGAGCTTAAATTGGTTTTGGGAAATGTTTGGACTGGAGACATCAATTCATTCCAACAAGAGTTGGATCAGATTGGTCAGTTCAACACATATTAGAATGGAGCAGAACATTTAAAAGGAGTGTTTTGCGTATTTGATATAAATTTTTTTACAGAATTAATAGAATTATTGTGCTGAACAGGTGGTGAACAGTAACTTAGACATCACTAAGTGTACTGATTGGTCACTGATTGGAGTGTAAGCTGCAGAGACGCTGTGTTTCTAGATGCATTTTGACACCCAGGATCTAGCCGACATATACAGTCTAGAAGACGTCGAACACCGTATACAGTAATTAGCTTAGTCTGCTCATGTAGAACCATTAGGAACCTATGAACAATCCTCCGAGTGCGTTCAGCTGTACAGTGACGCTGCGTTACTGGCAGTTTGTAAAGATGCACTGGAGCTTCGCAGGACTTTGTCTTCACCCTCCTAGAGGTGGTGGTATCATGTGATTTGAGTCCTCATTGGTTGGTGGAATGGGATGCATCTAAATTGGGAAGAAAATGGGGAAAAAATCCAAACTAAATAAAAGAAATGGTGATATACTTAAAAAGTATTAAAAACCAGCTGTTGAGAATCACTGTTTTGTATGATCTAAAACCAGTATGGTGTCTGATAAACACATAAAATGATTCTAATATGCCGTTCTTGCACAACTTTACAAGTTTAAAGAATTTAAAAATAATTAATTGGAAGATTAAAAAAAATAATAATGAACAAAACATTTTAAGTGTGTTCAGAGTAATGAACAGAGTTGTAGATGGATATTATATAAAGATGAAATACAGTTAACCCCCTACATGGCCGCCGGCTGGCCCACGCCTTTATTACACACTTCTATAACCTAAGAACAGCTCAGCTAATTTGCTGAATAATCAGCCTTAGTGTGTAGTAAACCATGATGCCTTATAATTCACAGTGACAATCTGATCTTGACGCAGATTATTTGACAAAAAATCACACAAATAGATATTTACTGTATGTTATTTTTCGTTTGATAACTTATTGTTGCCGAAATGCTTGAAATACTGAATGACATCTAAAATGACCTTTTCTTGTTGAGTATGTAAATCTGCCGTGTATAAACTGTTATTGTATGTAAACAGCAGAAACTGTTACTATGACAGGTGACTCTAAACTTCTGAACAGTACAGAATGTTCATTAATGCAACATTAGTCAGTTTGGTTGATCTAAGCTTTTCAGAAGCAGTGCTGATTATTCTGGGTTTAACAGATTTATAGTGCTGAACAGGAGGTGAAGGATATCTTCACTAAGGTCATCACTGAGTGTGTTGAGTCATTCCTGGTGAAGTGTAAGATGTAGAGATGCCGTATTCCAGGATCAGGGTCCTCCATACCACCACGCAGACTACCTCCAATATCAATCACCAAACTACACGGCTGGAGACTGAAGATCAGGGCTCCACTGAAGATCCTGCTCCACATGTTGGCCTGGGGTGTGTTTAATTATGCTCGTTCACACATGTTAGTCTCTTTAATCAGTAGAAGTTCTGTAGCCGTAGTGATCTCTGACCACTATCAAATCACCATTTATCAATAATCAATACTATTTACTGTACTTTGATTTGTTTTCCTTTTACTACTTACTGTAACTCTGAGTTTCTTTCATTATTTGCATGTTTGATTAATTATATTAATAAATAATAAAGGGGAGGGAGGGGCTGGTAAAGGGAAATTCAGCCTAATCAAACACCTCAGTAGAAACACTTCAGTAATGACTGTCTTCTCTCCACTACAATCATTTTATTAATCATCTTTATATTAATCAGTTTCCTGTCAGTTTTACCTGTTATTGTTTTACCTTCTGGCTGGAATATAAACTTTAATAAAACTATTATATCTCTGCAATCTGATCAGAATGACTTTTATTGCTTAGATATCTTAATTCTAAATTGCTATAACTCATCCAGTTTTACTAAATTAAATCTATGGTTAGGGTTATGGATTATATATCATGTATGGCTTGTAGTACTTAATACTGTAATAATTTCCTCAGAATGTAATAACATCCAGAAATAAAGTAATAACATTGTGCACTTGGTCAAAAATGTAATAAAACCTAATAATGTAATAGCTGGCCTGTAATACAGTGGCCTGTAATCAGGACATTGGTGATAAGATTTTAATACTGATATGATACAGAATAATCCACACTGATGTTTCTGTTGGTAAAAAAAATAATAATAAAATAATAAATCAACAGATCGGAACAGACAAGACAGACACAGCTGACTAACACTTTAATACTATAATAATAACTTATGAACACTGATTTATTGGGCTTTCTCAGCTTCAGCTTCACTACATTATCTATTTGAAAAAAAATCTGAATATAATATCTAAAGAAAAAAGCATTGATGTAATAATGCAACAAAGTGTTACAAACGATCAACCTGAAAAAAAGAAAATAAATTCCCTATAATTACGTTACTGTTTAAAAATGGTGTTACAACAAAGGGCAACACATTATTGGGTGTTATTTTTTGCTGACTGGGATTATTACATAACTGTGAAATGTTTGCAATATTAAGTGCTACAAATGGTCAAGACCCCCATATTACATTATTAGTGAAATTATTACATTAGTAAGTTTTATTACATTTCAGACTAAACCTCCTAAATCCTGTCCTAACTTTAGGATGAACCCCAACAGGGTCCTCACTTCTGTTTAAGGTCCGTTTCTATGGTTTTTAGGCAGCTGAGTCAGCAGCATAGTTCACTACCAGCATAATGAGCTCCATTTATTCCTACTGTAAAACGCTGCTTTCACTGTGAGATGATTTTCTTTTCTAACTCTGCGTTTTAAAGATCTCAGACGCTGCAGACTCGATCTCCACCGCCCCTCTGATCACCTTCGTGTGTTAATGTTGATGATGAAATATTACAGTGATGGTGGTGAATAATGAGGAGACGGAGCTGAACGTGTGTCTGTTTATTAGGAGGAGTAACGTTAGCGCGCTCGGCTAAAGCGTTTGGGAAATGGAGACTGAAACTGGGGAGCGGCGACGCTCTGATAAACAGCAGGGGGCGCTCTCACAGTATTCACAACTTACAGTTTATCACTCTTTAGTTCTGTTTGATCTTTTTTACGTGGCTAACAGCAGCTACCTGTCTAGCTAACAAATTCGTGTTTTTATATTACATTTCATAGCAGGACAGTAATACAGCCCCAGGCCTGAATTAAGTTCAGTAATAAAAGCCAACAATTAAATTCTAAAACTGCATCATTTTAGAACCACGTATAGGGAAAAAACCTCATTTCTAGAGAATATATTACTCTTAGTACTCTTCTAGTTCTGTCCGGTCTGATGTGATAATGACCCAAGGAGCTGAACCAGAGGTCACATCTGGCATTTACATGCGACCCTCACACCACATGGACTGATGGAATAGAAGAGGCCCAGATGAGGTTGCCAGATCTCAGCCACCTTTAAACCAGCACTGCCAGAACTGACCCACCACTCAAAGCCACTAGCAGAAAAACCAGACCGTTAAACTTCAGTGAGACAGACTCAGCAGGCAGGAGTGAAGAGAGAATTTAATCCTTCATTGAACTTTACTGGAGCTGAAACATGACCATTCAGTAGACATTAGAGTCTTTGGCGTTTGCCCCGTCCTCTGTCCAAGTCTTGCAGAATCGAGACTCTTGCTGATCCCGCCAGATCGAGCTGGCATGGGCGGAGCCTGGTGGGGAGTGAGGGGAATGTGGAGAAGTAGGCACTTTAAAGTCATTTTAAAGACAGGTGTGGGCCTGTGATTGGTCAGGAGTGATGAGCGAATAACGCAGCATTACAGTCTTCCTGGCAGAACTTTTACTAAAGCTTCCATTTCCCTGGAATGGTGGGACTTCCACTGTTGCACAGCGCCCCCCAGGCTCCAGGAGTGGAGGACAGCATGTGCTTCTCCCACTGAGACTACCAGCTGTCTTTGTTTAAATAACAGACAGAATGTCATGAAGGCTGGATTTTTACAGTGTTCTGTGCCCAGATCTGAATTTAAACTATAAGCCCCCTGAATCCTCTTAATCCCGGTCTAAAACATAAATGATTGTCTCTGTTCTGCAGTATTTCTGCCAGACGTGGCTTGGAGCTGTTTTGGCACATGTGAGCCATACGAGCATTTTTAATATGTGGGCCACTTTGGCTCAGATGAACTTTGCAGTGCAACATCTCAGCCAGAAGTGGCTCACATATGCATTCTATCAGGGGATGAGTCAGTGTGCCTGAGGGGAAATAAAGGAGCTTCAGAGAACATTTACCAGCAACCCCGCACCCTCACACACACACACACTCACAAACACACACTCATTCACACACATACACACTCACACACACACTCATTCACACACATACACACTCACACACACACTCATTCACACACATACACACTCACATACACTCATTCACACACATACACACACACACACACACACACTCATTCACACACATACACACTCATTCACACACATACACACTCACACACACACACACACACTCATTCACACACATACACACTCACACACACACTCACATACACTCATTCACACACACACACACTCACACACACACACACACACACACACACTCATTCACACACATACACACTCACATACACTCATTCACACACACACATACACACACACACACACACGCACACATACACTCATTCACACACACACACACACTCACACACACACACACACACACACATATGTGTCCTATCAGGGGATGAGTCAGTGTGCATGAGGGGAAATAAAGGAGCTTCAGAGAACATTTTGTGCCAGGAACCCCTGCCAAAGTCACAAGCTCCTCCCTCCTGAGTGAGGCTGGAGGATCAGCAGTTGGTTTCAGTTCTGACCAGGACTCAAACACAACACTACAGAGGACACAGGGCTGAAAGTGAGACTCATCATCTGAATTACTACTTTATTTGCAGGTTTTAATTCTTTACATTTCTTTCATTCTCTGAACTGAAACTCATCTAAGAAGTAAACGGATCTGCTCGTCTCACAAGAACTACTCCTTATTGAACTGCAGCAGATTTGCAGCTACAGGTAACTGTGTCTTTTGTTTGCCTGACACACTCACACACACTCTCTCACACACACACTCACACACACGCACACTCACACACACACACACACTCACACACACACTCACACACACACTCACACACACGCACACTCACACACACACACACACTCACACACACACTCACACACACACTCTCTCACACACACACTCACACACACACACACTCTCACACACACTCACACACGCTCACACTCACACACACACACTCTCTCACACACACACTCACACACACGCACACTCACACACACACACACACACACGCACACTCACACACACACTCTCACACACACACTCACACACACGCACACTCTCTCACACACACACTCACACACACGCACACTCACACACACACACACACTCACACACACACACACACACGCTCACACTCACACACACCCTCACACTCACACACAAACACACTCACTCAACCTCACACACTCTCACACACACACACACACACACACACACACACACACTCACACTCACTCACACTGTCACACACACACACACACACGCACACTCACACACACATACACACACACACGCACACTCACACACACACCCTCACACACACACACATTCAGTCAAACTGATTTAGAACATGTTGTGACCCATCACAAAGTATGTTTGAGCTATTTTGTGACTTTTCCAGTGCTGTGTTACAGGAGGGCTTAGAAAAGAATCTTAAAACTGTCTGTTTTTATCTGTCTGTCTGTCATATGAGTAACATTGTTGGTCACAACTACTCAAAAACAGCAGGGTGGTCAGTCAGCACACTGGCTGTGTTTGCATGCAAAGATTTTTGCCAATCCGAATGAACACATTCTGATTACAGATTCAGACTGAGGTGTTTATCCTCACTCTACTCAACAAATCTTCGTTTACATGCTCACTACAAGTAATCCGATCCAAAATGACGCGCATGCGTGGAGAACCACTTAGAGTGAACGTTACCATGACAGCGAACATCACATGAGTCCAGTCAGAGTGAGATGAGTTTCCAGTTGGAGTTTTTGATGTCTTTAAAATGATGTCAGACTCAGGAAAACGTCCTTCACCTGTCCTTATTAAAGAAGGCCGAGAGGAAGACGTCGTGTTCTGAGACACATAAGCTGGACGTCCGTCCCACCGCCGTCTTTTAAAGATCAGAGCATTAACTTCGTCTCCTCTGTAGACCAGTTTCTGCTCCGCCTTGTTGAACAGTATAAACTTTTGCCAGAGCCGGTTTATTAGTTCTGTGCTTTTGTTATGATGTGACGCACATGTGCAGAACGTACTTACACATTCCGATAGGGAATGTAATCAGATTCAGGCGTTTACATGGCTATTATTCTTCTATTTAACGGATTATTTACAGGATTACCATCTCGATCAGTCAGATAGAAATTGTATTCCGATTGAGGTGTTTACACGGACGTATTCTATTCTGATTGAGCTATTAGTCGGATTATTAATGGATTATTAGGCTGCATGTAAACATGGCTACTGTTTTAGTTTCTTACTGATCACCTAGAAAGAGTCTGAAGTGTTCTGTATGGCTCTGTACAAACGTTCTTCCTCGTTTCTTCTCGTCCCATCCTCAATTCACGATGACTCAAAACCTCAAACTGAAAGCCCAACCTGGTGTCTTACTCTCTGTTGCTGTAAAACAGAAGTGGACGAGTGTGTCTCCTAAAACAGGCAGAAAGCCTTCTGTAAAAATACCATGAAGTGCATATTTATGTCAGTAAAAGCACGAGTTGCACCTACATACACATCTCAGTGCTTTTAGGAAAAGACAGTAGGAGTAAACACCTCACCTTTGGTTGGAAATAGTGTTTAAAGGTTGGTGGGCGAGCCGCTCAGGGTCGTGTTTAAGATAAAATCTGTCTTGTTTTACAGTAACAATGAATTCTGGCACACAGGATACTGAGATGTCTGAAGGTAAGTCTATAAGCAATAATACTTCATTCATATATTCTTATTTAATTTCATTCTGAAGTAAAGTAAAGTAAAACACCTGTTTAATAAATTCCTAAGAGTAGTGTATCATGATGGAGCGTCATATTTAAACACGAAAAGTGTTTGTTTAGCATTCAAAGTGTTAGCAATGTTGGGTAATACTTTATTTCACTGTGCTCTTTTTAAAGCGTAAGGAAAATGTAACTAAATGTACTTTTATTCTCCATATAGAAATGGAGGTCCTGCCCACAGAAACTGAGCAGGTCAGGCATGCCACCATAACTCACCTGCTTATGTTTCTTAATTTATTCTTAAGAAGATACTTTACATGATTCCCCACCGTCAAACAGCCGAGATATGTTTGGTGTCCAAACTTTGCTTCTTTACTTTAGAACTGTAGCTGCTAGGTTAACATCGCTAACAAACACTGGAAGTCAGTAGTCACCCAAACCATTTCTGTAAACACTCACCCAAACCTTTCTCTCCACTGACTCAAACTCCACCAGGAGTGTTTCACAAAGCAGGATTTCTCAGTTTAGCCGATGATCTAATTCCAAAGTCAAGCCTGTCCAATAGGAAAAGAGCTGAGGGGCATTCCTATTGGACAGTCAAAGTCAAAGTCAAGTCAAATTTATTTGTATAGCGCTTTTTACAACTGATGTCACAAAGCAGCTTCACAGAAATCCATTAAGGACAAAGTTTTAACATGAAATGTAAATCCTCCAGGTGAGCGAGTCAGGGGCGACAGTGGCAAGGAAAAACTCCCTCAGAGCTGAGGAAGAAACCTTGGGAGGAACCAAGGCTCACAAGGGGGGACCCATCCTCCTCTGGTCAAACTACCTACAAAAATTTCCTCATCTTAAGGCTTAGGTTATGTGGTAAACTGAGAAACCTTGGTTTGAGAAACACCTTGGTCTTCATTTAAGCTCAATCAGACGAGTTGATGTGTGTAACACTAAACAGTGAGACTGTAAACTATAAAAAGGGAAAGAACCTCTCGGTGCAGCTAAAAGAAGGAGTAGTTGTTCAGGAGCACCAGAATCACGTCTTTCCTGAGCACAGTTTGGTATCATTCTGTGCAAAACGACCAAAGTCAGGGCTTCACAACACAGACAGACTGTATGGTAATGTAACGTAGGTAGAGAAGCTCAGCAGGCGTTTTCAGAAAGTCACTACAATGTCCAATTATGAAGTATATTTATGTGTTTATTTCTTCATATACACATGAAGAAGTGTATCATTGGATGCCAGACCACCAGTGACTTTCTAGGGACACTTAGTCCCCCAAAGGACAGGAACTGGGTGGTGACACCAACTGAGGTGCAGTGTCTCTGCAACTCTCTTAGGCTACGTTTACACAGCAGGCAAAAGTGGCCCAAATCCGATCTTTGATCGGATATGTGACACAGATGTGTGTCTGTGTGGCAGTGTAAACAGCAAAAAACGCATTGAATCTGATATTTTCAATTCTGGTCTGAGACGCTTTCATATGTGGTACTGAAATCCGATCCGTATCCGAACTGTGGCAGTGTGACTCAGTGTGAACAGCCAGATCGGAAATCATACGACTTTTACGTCAATCCAACTTGACATTCTTCATTATTTCACGCTGCTGAGACTCATGAACATTGAGGCTGATGTTTCTGTGCCAAGAAAATAGAAGAGAAGACGTCGTGTTCTGAGACACATAAGCTGGACGTCCGTCCCACCGCCATCTTTTAAAGATCAGAGCATAAACTTCGTCTCCTCTGCAGACCAGTTTCTGCTCCGCCATGTTGAACGGTATAAACTTTTGCCAGAGCCGTTTATGAGTTCTGTGCTTTTGCTATGACGCTATGCCCACAGAAACTGAGCGGGTCAGGCATGCCGCCATAACTCACCTGCTTATGTTTCTTAATCTATTCTTAAGAAGATACTTCAGTGAAAAATCCAATTTATATGATTCCCCACAGTCAAATAGCCAAGATATGTTCGGTGTCCAAACTTTGCTTCTTTACTTTAGAACTCTAGCTGCTTGGTTAACATCGCTAACAAACACTTGAAGTCAGTAGTCACCCAAACCATTTCTGTAAACACTCACGAACACTCGCTACCGCTTCTTTGAAGAGGTTTTGACTGAAACGGCTGAACGTGGCCGGAGGAGGCCGAGGCTGCAGGTCACAGAACAGTTTAAAGAATCCGAGGACATGAACCAAAGAAGTGGCCAAGCCCAAATAACGTGCCTTTTTTATGGCAAACTCGAACACATTCTTTCAGTCAGTGGAGCTTCATGGTGGCTCCTGTGATGCTGGTGAAGATGAAGCTGATCCTCCGGGAGCGACTGGCGTTTCGTTGGCGGTCGTGATTGTTTATCTCTGGATGAGCCGTGAAGCAGCGTGACGCTCTGTTCTTTTGCTCATGTGGGTCAGTTTAGGAGCTGATCTGTTCAGACTGATGTCGCATACAGATCACATTTAAAAGATAATCTGAACAGCCAAACAAAAAAATCAGATTTAGTGAGAAAATCAAATTTGGGCCACTTTTACCTGCTGTGTAAATGAAGCCTTACAGTAACAATAGTTTTGGAATGCAGGATGTTATGCAGATAATATATAATATAGATGATACATGATATAGATGATAATGTAGCTCCAATTTTAGCTTAAATGTGTAAATAAAGTCTGACTATGCTAAGCTTTGAGTTTATGTAGGTTATTGATGTAATTTGAAGCAAATTATATGAAGATTTTGGAATGCATTTGAGGAACAGTTTGGGTGACTATTGACTTACAGTGTTTGTTATCAATGTTAGCCTACCAGCTCCAGTTCTAAACTGAAGAAGGAAAACTTTGACACCAAACATGTCTTGACAGAGTGACTGATTTAGGGAAGTGGAAGTCATATAAGTTTGATTTTTCACCAAACTGTTCCTTTAATCTTCTGCATGCTGTTACATTGTGTGTGTTAAATAACTGTATGAACATGGACAGTTTAATAATTATACAGGTCATTATATGAGATTATGCTTTAGCAGAGAGTAACAAGATAACATGTTATTTCCTTCTAGAACTACGAACCCAGTGTGATCAACCGAGTCATCCATTTTCGGGTCAATAAAGAAAAGTATGCTGTTTCCTGTAAGCCATCCATGACTGTACTAGAGGCACTGAAGAGAAGCAAAAGATTCAGAGGGATCCAACTTAAGAACCGCGACAAAGAAATTGTTATCCAGAGAGAGAAGTTTCCAAAAGCTGTTGTGAACACTGGTTTTCCCTGCAGCCTTATTGACGAACAGGAGACGCTAGATGTCAGCTTCATCAAAGGTGAAGCTCCCTCACAAGTTGGCGAAACTGCACTGGACCACCCACATACCCTAAGAGCTGAAGATTTGGTCAGCTTCAACATCAGAACCAAAGGTGGCAAAAATATCAGGCAAATTATGAAAAATCAAGAGCTGAAGCTTGAGCTTGATTTTGTTTGTGTACATGCAAAGAGAGGAGAGAACCTGAGAAAAGCTTTGAAGAGGGACGGGAGATTCACGGATGTCATTTTCCGCAAGAGGTGCGCTTTAATTGAATTAGAATCTGAGGTGATCACTGAAATGTCAAATGGAGTTGATCATCTTGATGGGAAGCATTTACAAGTAATTCGCTTTGATGACTCTGCTCTGTTGGTTAGCTTTAAAGCAACAGGAAGCAGGAAGGTGTTGAGGACCATGAGTGATGTTTCTGATACAGCGCCGCGTGGTTCACAAACTGAAAACCCTAGAAAGCTTGTGCGCACTAAACCAAGAGAATTGGCTAAAACTTCCCTGAAATCCATGGATGTGACAGCTGTTCTCCAAGCCTGTAAAATGATCCCGAACTCTGAAGAGTTGTTTAAGACTCTTTCTGCACAGTGTAGGTGTTTGTTGAGTGAGATGAAAAAACACAGCAGGCTTAAGTCCTACAAGGATCTCCTTAGAGTGGAGTATGACAAAGGTAAAAGGGGATTCTCTAAAATAAGTGACGTAAAGAGACTGATGCAGCTGTCAGATTCTGTTTGCAAGATAATCATTGATGGGGAACCAAACGGAACTGGGTTTCTGCTCTTTGACAAATTCATCCTCACCTGTGCACACGTGATTGACTGTGAACCAAGATCAAAGCCACGGAAGCTAAAAGACCCAGTTACTGCAGAATTTGACTATGAAGACAATAAGACAAAGCAAGTCTTTCAAGTGAAGGAAGATATTGTGAGTTGCTCTCATGAAGTGGAAGGTGAGGGACCATTTCTTGATTTCGCACTATTAGAATTGGGAGAACTCATTCCACAAGCAGGGGGATCAGTAAAGTCTGCTGAGACTGCTGAATCAACACCCCCTGCTCTGCTAAAAGGTTCCACCAGTTCTGCCAAGACAAAGGTTACAAAGAGCATCTGCATCATTGGGCACCCAGATTGTCTTAGTAAGAAATATGACGTCTGTTCTGTGATTAGGGATGATAAATGGAAGAGCACTACAAACGACCGCCTTTCTCAGATGACAGATAAGGTACTGCACATTCTATCAGAGCTGTCATTAGAAGACGATTGGAACTACAACAGCTCACAGATTACCTACGACACTTGTTTTTTTGATGGTTCATCTGGCTCTCCTGTCTTTAACAAGAGGTGTGAACTGATTGGTATTCATACTGGTGGCTATGCATATGAGGACAGCAAAAACAAATTCAGAAGCTTGATGGAATATGGCTTTCCCATTGGGCCAGTCCTGAAACGCATTATGATACAGTCGAGGGAGAGAGGAAGAAATGATGTTCTGACCATCTTGGAATCTCTGGTCATTCAACAGGACACCTTAGACTCTCCTACTGACAAAGATTTCCATACCACCCCACTAAACCCAGTGATCAAATCAGCCCAAGACAAAAGAGACAACATCACTGACAAAACACCAAAACTGAATTTGTCTTAAAGAAACAAAGTGAACACAGCAAGGATGCAGGTACAACATATCACTGACGGATAAAACCAGACTGATGAAACAGACTCAGACTGGTCTTACAAAACATCTGTCTGCACCACTGTGACCCAGTGATGACTGACATTTTACATTATAATGCATTATACAGGGGGTTGATTCAGCAGCCCTACAAGAACAAATGTGTGGAATTTTACCACCACTTCACTCACCGTAGATGGAAAAAAACAATAACATGGATGTTGATATGGTTCACAATATCTCTCACTTTATGACAAATGTTGTAAGGAGAAAGCTTTTTGAGTGTTGTTATTATAGGATTGCAAGGCTTTAAAAAATATTCAGCTACTGAGATTACAAAAGTTCTTCTGTGTTTCTATGAATATCTTTAGTTGTTCCTTTATTATATACAGGGTGATTCAAAAAGATTAATCTGATTTCAAAGAGCCATATTATTACAACCGTGAGGCGCCGAGGAACCAATCACAATCCAATTGAAGGAGGTGGTCATAGAGTTTCTGACTGGCTCCCTTCAGTCTGAGAGGAGATGAGACCCCTGAGCAGAAAGCGTTCTGCGTTCTCCACTTCAATAAGAGTGAATCCGTCATAACTGTGCAGTGTGATTTTCGTGGGCAGTGAAGCTCCAACAGCTCAGAGCGTTCGGCGTTGGTTCCACAACACTGGATGATCTCTGAAATCGCACTGAAAGAGCCGTGAGTGCAGCGACACCCGACACGCTCAATCCAGTATGGGATGAGTTTGACTATGGCGTTGATGTTGTCTGTACAGCTGGAGGAGGTTCATACTGAGACCTTGTACAATTACATAATAAACTTTATGCTCATTTAAACCATTTACAGTTCACTGCATTGATCTGTAATGACTTACAAGAGAAATAAATCATTTTGAAATCAGATGAATCTTTCTGAATCACCCTGTATTTTGTGCACTTGTCTAGTGATTGTGCATTAATCTCTATTGTGTACTTTACATTTCATATACATAAGAAATCTGCATGTTTGATTAAAGAGGCTCTTGGTTTCTTTCAGCTTCGGTAACAAGATTAAAGTTGTTAAGGACAATTATAATTTGACAATTAAATTTTTAACAGTTATTTTAATTTCTTCAGGGTTAGGGTAAATATTTTGATGACATATTTCCTTATTTTGTGTTTGACATCCTTGATAGATTTGTAAGAAATATAAGTGATGTGTGTTTGAATTATTTTACAAAAATCACTCTGGAATAAATTGTATCAACTTTAAACATGTACTTGGTTTCTGCTTTTTATTTATGGTTTAAATTGACTAAATAACCATTAGTAAACTTGCAGCTCTTACATATTTCAGAATAAAGAAAACTGGAGTTGACTGGCTGATTACATAAGAATGGCTGTCAGGTAAACAGGTGAGCTGCTGAGCTCTGCTGGGTTTACACCATTGCCCTGTTCTTTATGATAATAAAGTTAATCATATCTTAAATTAGGATGTGAATTATGATGACATTAGGTATTATATAGTTCATATAATTTAATCTCACTATAAGTTGCCATGTACATATTAGCAGCTCATTCCAGAAGTACAGCTATAAAAATCAAGTTTAGAGAGTTAGTTCTGAACTTGCTGGCCATCTGAAAGTTTCAGTTAATAGCATCATGTTTGGTTACACTTTACAATTCTGCTCCACAAATAAGCATCTATTAATACTTCACTAACGCTTTCATCACAGTGAATTAATGCAAATAAATAAGACTAACACATGTCACATCAGGAAACAATGACATGTACATGTTCATAAAGAACTGAGTCAAACATAAATAGCCACTGATAATGGTAATCGTTAAGTATTATTGTTTTTAACCCATTCTTTTAATGAATGATGCGACCTGACATATTAATTAAAACCCTTTCTGTAATGCATAATGTCCATCTGGAGATGATGTAGGTTAACACACATCATAAGCT